TTCTCCAACGACCTCGAGGTCGATAACTTCCTTTGCGTCGCCATCCACATCGCCGACCACGACCTTCTCATCCCCCCCGTGAGCCTCCTCCACGCCGACTTTCTCCTCGTCGGCATCCTCCCCTCCCTTGTTCACAACATCTGCCGACCTCCCAGCCGTTTCCGCCGCTCCCTCTACGTACTCCACCTCCATTTCCTCCAACTCCCACTCGACCTCTTCCTCCTGCTCCCCCTCTTGCTGCTTCTCCGCCTCCTCCGCCTCCTCCTCCTCCTCCTCCTCCTCCTCCTCCTCCTCCTCCTCCTCGTCCTCCTTGTCCTCCTCCTCCTCCTCCTCCTCCTCCTCCTCCTCCTCCTCCTCCTCCTCCTCCTCACGATCCTCATGGTCCTCTTCCTGATCCTCGTTATCCTCCTGGTTCTTCTCCGCGGTCCCAGTCACCGCCCTTCCCGCCTCCTCATCTTCCTTGTCGACGCCGCCTCCGGGCTCTCCGATCGAAGTCCCACGCGCATCATCGACGGTGTAGGCGACACCTATTGCTGTGGATGCCAAAGGGGCCTCCTCGCCGTCGTCGTCACAGGCGTCGGCAGCAACTCCGACATGGCCCGACCGTTTGAGAGCGACGTGCTCCTTGACGAATGTTATCATCCCATTCCGCAGCCCCTTCAACCCCGAAACGTTGACCTTGTCCATGCTGGTCTCACTGCGACGGATGGCGCCGGTCAGGAGATCCATCCTCCTCACCACCCAGCACAACGCGCTCATTGCTAGCAGGCCGGAGCCCGCGTCCCCGTCCCGGACGGCGTCGGGCACTTTCTGCATACAACAGTTCAGAGCGCAAGGATGAGCACCGCGTTCGGCAATCGCATCGCGCAAGGATGACATAGGACGGTGATTCGTTCGGAACTCACATCTCGAACGGGTTGATCGCAGTCGGCGAGCCTGTCCTCCACCTCTTCATCGGAAGGCTTCGCCCACTCCCACTTCCTACCATCGCACCCAAGCTCGGCCAGGACCGCCGCCCGGAAAAACCTGAAGCAACATGGCACAGATTGTCGGTAAGCATGGTTTACGCTGCGCGGCGAAATTGCATGCGTCGTCGACTACACTATCGAGCTCACTTCAGCACGCGGATCGCCTCGTCGCGGTGCCACTGCTTCACGGTCTGCGGGTCAAAGTGCCGGATCGAGGTCCTGATCTTCTCCCCCCCACCCTTCAACAGGTCGCCGGGGTACAGGATGACAACGATGCTGCAATGTGCTCCTGGAAGCGGTGCGATGCTGCACAGGCAAGGCACGACGACGTCGTTCAGAACAGAGCACCGACATAGGATGCAACACACATCGTGACGACTTCTAACCAGCTCACCTCGAAGTCAAGGGGATAACAGCTACGTCGGCGTCCAAAACCGTCGCAAAGCATGTGTGGTCCGCCCGACCCATCGCCGCCCGAAGCCGGCCGAGTCCTATCGACCACAATCGCATGTTGGCCGGCGCCGCGCGAGTCCATGCGTGCCTGCACGCATGCATCGGAATAAGGAGTGAGTGAGTATGTGCACGACACGACGGTGGATACGTTGGTTTAGGAACCGCCGACCGACGGGGATGGCAATCGTACGACGGTGCACCACCCTCGCGACGTTGTAATCAATTGAGCCGACCGATGCGTGCCTAATGCCTGTGCCGACACCGACCTACTGTCGGCGTCGACGTGAACTCGTAGCGCCGTCTCCGACGTGGGACAACCCTAACACCGACGCTGCGTCGACCAGCAATGTAAGAAGATGTCGACGCCGACATCCACATACGCAGACTCACTTGATGCCGAATCCCAAGCAACGGGCGTTGAACTCTAGCCTATGGTCTACGAGGACGGCGTAGTCGTGTTCCTCGAGCTTGGCAGTGAGTCCACTACCGAGGTCGAGATACAGAGGGAAGTCCTGCACGGTCGGCGCCGCTTCGCCGGCTTTCGGGTCGGCCTCCATTGCGTTGAAGAGAATTGACTGCAGGCTAAGAAGGGACGAGAATGTGGGAGTAATGTTGAAAGTGAAACGAGATGCCGAAAATGAGGAGCGATGCCTCCTTCCGCCAAGGAAAGGGAGTCGGTGCCCCACAGGCCGGTTGAGGCATCGCCCAGGGTTCGTGGTGCCTGGCTCGGCAGGGTTTGGCGGGCTGCATGCACAAGCGCTCCTTCGCCGCCGAGCCAGCACGTCGACTTCGCGTCCCCCGGCTTCGCTCGGCGAGGAGACGCAATTTCGCATGCGCGCGGTGCCTCGTTTCGGCCGACACGTGTCGACTTCGCCCCGGATCGCGAAAACCCCGCGCCGCGATGCGAGCGAACCGATTTCGCCGGGCTCGAAATTTCGCATGCACCCGATGCGAACCCGCGTGCGAGCACGCGGCGTCACCGCAACGGGTCGCGAAATCGTCGAGCTTCCCGAGGGGAGCACCCGAATTTTGCATGGCCCTCGCCTGCCCGTCCGGGCAGGTCGCGAGGGTCACTAGGACGTCGCGGGCAGCGGGCACGGGAGGGCTGCCTTCGCGCGAGGGTTACTTTCCCTCCCGCGAGGGCTCGCCAGCTCGCCGCCCCCACCCGGTAACGTGGGGCGCTGTTCAATCACGCAGGGGGGTTGCGGGGCGGCGGTCGTGCGCTCGGCCCGGCCCTGGGCCAGGCTGGCGGGCCCGCACGCGCGTCAGTTGCCCGCCTCGTCGGGCCCGGCTCCGACGACCCCCTCTGACGACACCGGCAAATCGGTTCCGACGACCGATTTGCGCTGGGATGTTCGGATACGTATGCATCCACACACCGCAAATGCGCTGATCACTACGGTAGCCATTGAATTCCATGGTTCTTTCTCCACCTTCTTTTCCTGACTCGATCGACAGATACGACCAGAAAGCCTTACATATCAGTCATTTGTCAGCATGATAGCTGAGACTAGAGCATTCGAGCAAACTGGGGGTTGGAATCGAATTCTATATTAATATTTGAAGCAGTACGTTTTTCTCGGGAAAGAGCAGGAGATAGTACGTTCCAGTGCGTTCCAGTGCGTTCAGTACTTTCTCTGGGTCCCAAGCGCGGAGGCGCTGGGATGGATAGCATCGCTCATGCACCTGTATCGAAGGAGAGTGAGGGCAGCGACCATGTGCTTGTATTGAAGCACGTGCCTGCGACGGCGAGCCAGGAAGTGCTGGATCGGCTGCTGCAGCGGTTTGGAGCGGTGGAAGTGGTTAGCAGGTGAGTGGTTTGCTAGGGTGTGCGTGATTAGCAGACAAGTGGTTAGCTAGGAGGTGAGGGGTTAGCAGGAAAGGGGAGTGACTGTGGTAAACACGCTTTTTGGTGCATCAGGAAAGCATATGCGAGATTAAGAAGTGAGACAAACAGCACAGAGCAGAGCCGACATTTGAGTCGACTGATAAGGCAATCTTTTGTCGACTCTGAAGTAACTTGGTTTGGTGGATCAGGAAAGAATCTGCATTTTCATGGAGCACCAAGCCCAGTGAGAAACAAGCCCAGTGAGAAACAAGCCCAGTGAGAAACAAGCCCAGTGAGAAACAAGCCCAGTGAGAAACAAGCCCAGTGAGAAACAAGCCCAGTGAGAAACAAGCCCAGTGAGAAACAAGCTCAGTGAGAAACAAGCCCAGTGAGAAACAAGCCCAGTGAGAAACAAGCCCAGTGAGAAACAAGCCCAGTGAGAAACAAGCCCAGTGAGAAACAAGCCCAGTGAGAAACAAGCCCAGTGAGAAACAAGCCCAGTGAGAAACAAGCCCAGTGAGAAACAAGCTCAGTGAGAAACAAGCCCAGTGAGAAACAAGCCCAGTGAGAAACAAGCCCAGTGAGAAACAAGCCCAGTGAGAAACAAGCCCAGTGAGAAACAAGCCCAGTGAGAAACAAGCCCAGTGAGAAACAAGCCCAGTGAGAAACAAGCCCAGTGAGAAACAAGCTCAGTGAGAAACAAGCCCAGTGAGAAACAAGCCCAGTGAGAAACAAGCCCAGTGAGAAACAAGCTCAGTGAGAAACAAGCCCAGTGAGAAACAAGCCCAGTGAGAAACAAGCCCAGTGAGAAACAAGCCCAGTGAGAAACAAGCCCAGTGAGAAACAAGCCCAGTGAGAAACAAGCCCAGTGAGAAACAAGCTCAGTGAGAAACAAGCCCAGTGAGAAACAAGCCCAGTGAGAAACAAGCCCAGTGAGAAACAAGCTCAGTGAGAAACAAGCCCAGTGAGAAACAAGCCCAGTGAGAAACAAGCCCAGTGAGAAACAAGCCCAGTGAGAAACAAGCCCAGTGAGAAACAAGCAGCACATAGCAGAGCCCAAACCCCAAACATTGAGTCAACCCCAAACCCACCCAAACCGCTGATTTTCCTCCTAGCCTCTCCTCTATCCTCCGATAATCTCTCCACATTTGTTCCCACCAGGAGCAAAGGAGTGGTGTATGCGCGATTCAAGGAGCAAAGTGCGGCACTCACAGCCAAGAAGCAACTGCACGGGTACGCTTTCTGCTCGTTTTCACGCCCTTTAAGGCTACCCAAAAGGCACTCACATCCACGAAGCAAGTGCACGGGTACGCTTTCTGCTCGTTTTCACGCCCTTTAAGGCTACCCAAAAGGCACTCACATCCACGAAGCAAGTGCACGGGTACGCTTTCTGCTCGTTTTCACGCCCTTTAAGGCTACCCAAAAGGCACTCACATCCACGAAGCAAGTGCACGGGTACGCTTTCTGCTCGTTTTCACGCCCTTTAAGGCTACCCAAAAGGCACTCACATCCACGAAGCAAGTGCACGGGTACGCTTTCTGCTCGTTTTCACGCCCTTTAAGGCTACCCAAAAGGCACTCACATCCACGAAGCAGCTGCACGGGAGAGGAATGCTGCTGGTAGGCATACCCTTGCTCTCGTGTGAAGGGCTTGAAACTGAACAATCCTGCTTCATACCTCGTTTTGTTTCGTACACTCTCCATTCCCCACTCTCCCTCTCTGTCTGTCCGTTTTCCCCCAACAGCATTCGCATGGGAAGCAACGTTCTATCAGCTCACTACCTTTCCCCTGCTCATTCTGCGAACTGCACTGAACCGCACACCACACCTCTCACTCCTGCTCCTGCTGCTGCTCCCGCTCCTGTCGCTCCCACTCTTGCCTCTGCTGCTGTTGCCAGTGGTAACTTGTATAGTCATGGTGCTTTGGATCCTGCTACTCAACAGAGTGAACCACACACTGAATCACTGCCACCACCAACACAGCAATCCCCCTCACTGCCACCATCCTGCCATCAGCCACCTCTCTCGGACCCCTCTCTCCTCCGCCTGTGTCATGCCCTCATGGCGGTCAACGAGCAGGAACGATTGACTCCACAAGTGCGTGATGCATCACATAAACCAGAGGGAGAGCCAGCAGGACGTAAACCAGAGGGAGCAGCAGCAGCAGAAGCAGCACAAGTAACAGCGGGGCAGGGGAAACCAATTATGAGAGGAGATACAATGGGCCAAGAGAAGGGGATGACATGTGTAGAGGAGGAAACAGTGGGGCAACAGCAGGGGTTGGAGGCTGGAGGGAAGGACAGAGGGAAGGAGAGGGGGAAGGAGAGGGGGAAGGAGAGGGGGTACGAGGCTCCATTGCTTATCAGAGACTTGCAAGCAGAAAGTGGAGCCTATTCAACAGGGGGAGGGGAGAGGGAAAGCTGCTTGGAAGAAGGGGGCTACTATTCCTTTCCTCCCCCACACTTTAGGTCCGTGCCATTTGTCTCCTCTCCCCACCTTCCCCTTTTTGGCACACGTCCTCCTCATCACGCAACCCTCGCATGTACTGCAGCCTTTGCTTCGTGACGACGCCTCCCCTTCATAATGTGCACTTTTAAGAATTCTCAAACGCAGTTCTTGCCCCTCTCCTACAACCCCCCTTTCCCTGCTTCCAAATCTCCCCCCCCCCCCCCCCCCCCCCCCACACAGGTACGCCTACCCCCCTCCATCTGCTCCCACCATCATCAACATTGCTTTCGCGCTCATCGCCACTCCCCGCCTATACACACAGGTAGGCCGGGCGGCCTTCTGATGAACAAGGTAAACAAACCTGCCTCCTCTGTTCCTGAATCGACATGCTTTGAGAAATGAATCCCTCCCTTCCTCCCTTCCTCTCCCTACCTCCCTTCTGATGAACAAGGTAATGTTTTGAGACGTACAAGGTGATGAACAAGGTAATGTTTTGAGACGTACAAGGTGATGAACAAGGTAATGTTTTGAGACGTACAAGGTGATGAACAAGGTAATGTTTTGAGACGTACAAGGTGATGAACAAGGTAATGTTTTGAGACGTACAAGGTGATGAACAAGGTAATGTTTTGAGACGTACAAGGTGATGAACAAGGTAATGTTTTGAGACGTACAAGGTGATGAACAAGGTAATGTTTTGAGACGTACAAGGTGATGAACAAGGTAATGTTTTGAGACGTACAAGGTGAAGAACAAGGTAATGTTTTGAGACGTACAAGGTGATGAACAAGGTAATGTTTTGAGACGTACAAGGTGATGAACAAGGTAATGTCTCCCTGTCCCTCCAATTTTGAGACGTCTCAAAACCTCCCTTCCTCTCCCTGTCCCTCCAATTTTGAGACGTCTCAAAACCTCCCTTCCTCTCCCTGTCCCTCCAATTTTGAGACGTCTCAAAACCTCCCTTCCTCTCCCTGTCCCTCCAATTTTGAGACGTCTCAAAACCTCCCTTCCTCTCCCTGTCCCTCCAATTTTGAGACGTCTCAAAACCTCCCTTCCTCTCCCTGTCCCTCCAATTTTGAGACGTCTCAAAACCTCCCTTCCTCTCCCTGTCCCTCCAATTTTGAGACGTCTCAAAACCTCCCTTCATCTCCCTGTCCCTCCAATTTTGAGACGTCTCAAAACCTCCCTTCCTCTCCCTGTCCCTCCAATTTTGAGACGTCTCAAAACCTCCCTTCCTCTCCCTGTCCCTCCAATTTTGAGACATCTCAAAACCTCCCTTCCTCTCCCTGTCCCTCCAACCTCATGAACAAGATGAGCCTGCCTCCTCCTTTCCCGACCTGACATTATTTCAGATCACACTCCCTACCCCCCTTCCTCTCCCTATCCCCTTCCCCCTCTCTCCCCAACCCCCAGGTGCTTCATCTGATGAACAAGATGAGCCTGCCTCCCCCCTTCGGCCCGGTCATCCTCCCCCAATCCTTGCACCCCACCGCACTACAGCCCACCGCACTACACCCCACTGCACCGCAGCCGTCGCCACAATCCCCATGCCCAACCGACGCACCACATCAGCCCAGCCCATCCAACCCACCACCTCCTGCCTCCTCCCACTCCACCTCTTTCCAAAGCCCAACAACCGCCCCTACCCAAGTGCCCCAACCATCCCACCCATCTCAAGCACTCCACCCATCCCAACCATCCCACCCATCCCAACCATCCCACCCACCCCAACTACCTTATCCCCAACCCCAGCCACCTCAACCATCCCACCCGCCCCAACTACCTTATCCCCAACCCCACCCAACCCAACCATCCCACTCATTGCAATGGCGCCCTCCCCACCCCCCATCCAGCCGTCCTGCCTTCGCTCCTGAGGTGGCTTTTGAGTCGACTCACAAGTCACCCCACCCAACCCAACCATCCCAACTACCTTATCCCCAACCCCACCCAACCCAACCATCCCAACTACCTTATCCCCAACTCCAACCAACCCAGCCACCCCAGCCACCTCAACCATCCCACTCATTGCAATGGCGCCCTCACCACCCACCATCCAGCCGCCCTGCCCTCGCTCCCTTTCCCCCCCATCCCTCCTTTGCCACCAGACCCCCCTCCCTGACGCCTCTTCCTCCCCATCCTCCGCCTTTCCGTCACCCAACTCTTCTTCCCCCCTCTCCCTACTCTCCCGCGCTCTCTCCCTTCCCTCCACCGCCCATCCACCGTCCACTCACCCCTCCCTCTCATACCCCCTTTCCCTCTCATGCCCCCTCTCCCTCTCTCGCCCCCCCTCCCTATTTCGCCCCTCCTCCCTCTCTCGCCCCTCCTCCCTCCAATGCCACCTCCACTCCATCCCATGCAAGTGCCATTTCACCTCAAAGCACCCTTCCGCCCTCCACTGCTGTCAATGCCCCGCCCTCCTCCTCCCACCCCACCACAAGTCCCCTTGAGACGCCCTCGCAGCCCATTAGAGCACAGTCGCCCCTACCAGCAGCAGCTACAGCAGCCTCCACCCCATCAGATGCTAGTCTTGGGTTGTGGGTCCTGGACTCTACGCATAAAGCGCCGCAGACAATGATTTCCAGTGCACAATCACCTCTGCCAGCACCACCAGCAGCTGCAGCAGCTACTGATGTATTGGATGCAAGTCCTGGGACACGTGTGCTGAATTCGCCTCTGAACGGGCCAAAGGCAGAAGCAAGAGAGGGGGGCGGAGCTTTCACGAGGAACGGAGTGGGAGGAGAGGTGGAGGAGGAGGAAGAGGAGGAGGAGGGAGGGGAAGGGGGTGAGTGGGAGGAGGGCGAGGAGAAGAGACTGGAGAGGGCTGGAGTGAGAAAGGTGGTTGCAGGAAGTGGAGGAATGGTAGCGATGGTCCTCAAGAAAAGGGCACCTATCTTGCAGGTGAATGGCTTTGTGTTGTTCTTCGTGTGCTTGTCCCTCTCCCTGATATGCTTTGAGGCGCCTCAAAACTCATTCCTTCTTCTGCGTTTGTTCTTCTTGTGTTTGTTCCCTCTCCCTGCTGTGCTGTCGTTTCCTTGAATTCGCATCCCAGAATCGTTTGCGACCAAATTAAAAGAGCCCGGCAACAAGGCTAGAAAGGCTCTTGAATTCGCATTCTCAGAATCATGTGCCGAGCTCGGGCAGCAAGTGACAGAATGCGCTTCCCACCACGATAGGTGCCATTTTCTTGATATGGCGCTGCCTTTTGAGGCGCCTCAAAAGCCATCTCAGTATACAGCATCTCAAGAGCCTTTCCTGATATAGCTTCCCTCTCTCCTTGTCATGCTGTCTGTCATGTTCCCTGCTCTCATCAGATCCAGCTGCGCCCAGAGAAAAAGAAGCCAAGAACAATGTGTGAAAGGCCCTCCCTGCCTCCCTGTCGCTCACACTCACGCAACACCCCTGCCGTGTTTGTCCCTCTCTCCCTGTCGTGCTGTCTGTCGTGTTCCCTTTTATCTTCAGATCCAGCTGCGTCCAGAGAGGAAGAAGAAGCAGCGAACAAGTCTAGAGCACGAGAGAAGGGTGGCTGAAAGAAGTGCTGAAGTGACAGGCCAGGAGGTTATGGTGTCACTGACATTCCAAGGTGCTGTGAATGCGGGGGAACACAAGGAGGGTGGCTCAGTGACGGAGGGAGATTTAGATTCGGCAGTGTTGGAGGGGGGTGATTTTGAGAATTCTCTCAAGCACCCTGCGATGACAATGGGGAGACGAAAGGAGGGTGGCTCAGTGACGGAGGGAGATTTAGATTCGGCAGTGTCGGAGGGATGGCGGCAGGATGGAGGTGGTTTCGAGGAGGGAGGGATAAAATACACGCATGGGCACAAGGAGAGCCGGAAATTCGACGAGGAGGAAACCAAGACGAAGGCAGAGAAAGGGGGTGTGGGGAAAAGGGAGAGGACAATCGTGGGGGAGAAGCGGGGTGATAGAGAGACGTGCAGTTTGGCAGATGGTGTGGAGAGGGAGAGAGAGGTGAGGCGTGAGGAGTATTTGGGAGGTGAGGGGAGTGAGGAGAATCTGAGGGAGGACGAGAGTGAGGTGAGGGCTACTTTAGAGGAGTTGAGGAGGCAGCAGCTGACAGGGGAGCAGCTGCTGGAGTGTGCAGCGTATAAGGTGAGGAAAAGAATTGCACCGTTTTGTCTGTCAGTTGATTTCCTTTCTAGATTTCATGTGTGCGCCCTGCATATGAGTGATCCATTTCCGATGCATGAATGCATGTGTGTGGGTGTGTGTGTGTGTGGGGGGGGGGGGGGGGGGGGGGGGTGTGCGTGCGTGCGTGCGTGCGTGCATGCGTGCGTGCGTGCGTGTGTGGGTGTGTGTGTGTGTGTGTGGGTGTGTGTGTGTGTGTGTGTGTGTGTGTGTGTATGCAGAACTACAAGAGGGGCGAGCCATGTACAACGCTGTACATAAAGAACATCGCCAAGGCTGCCACCACCACTGACCTCTTTCGGATCTTTGGTCAGTCTCACTCACTTCCATTCGTACTCTCAGACTTTCAGTCAGGTGCCTATTTGAGGCGCCTCAAAGAGGGGGCGAAGCCATGTGCCACGCTGTGCATAAAGAACATTGATAAGGCTACCGCCACCACCGACGTGTTCCGTATCTCTGGTCAGTCACCTTCAGTCGTACTCTCAGTCAGTCAGTCAGTCATTCAGTCAGTCACCTTCATTCGTACTCTCAGTCAGTCAATCAGTCAGTCAGCCAGTCAGTCAGTCAGACACCTTCATTCGCACCCTCGGTCAGTCAGTCAGTCAATCAGTCAGTCAGTTAGTCAGTCGGTCGGTCAGTCGGTAAATCAGTCAATCAGTCCGTCCATCCCCCGTTATTCAGTTACAAGGCTTCAATTACTCACGTCACCCCAATGTGTTCTGTGCGGACCCCGGTTAACAACATGTCAAGAATCACTTATTTTCGACCCTTGTGTGCCTTCTAAGAAAGCACTCTCTGTGTTTCACTGTATTGTACTCCTGGTCCAACCATGAACACCTCTTTTCTTACATGTATTGAAATTTCCACCAGCCCATTTCACCCATCCATGACTCCTTGGATCACCAGGAGCATTTTTCCCGCGCGACTCTGACTGGAAGTCAAAGGTTGGAGTTCGGCTCATGCAGGTATGGTATGCTGGTCTGGTGGCTTGTGTTGCCATTCGGATATGTCGTGACACTTGGTAAACCCTGAATCTTGAGTGTTAGAATGATGTTCCGCTTGGTCGTTTTTCCTCCTTTTATTATCTTTCTTTTGAAAGTATTTTCAAGCCCCGTGCTTTCTCTAATGCTCATGCCCGTGACTGATTTATTTCGAGCCCATGTGATCACATTTAATCTGAGTCTCTTTCAAAACCATCAATGGCATTGCATGTGTTCCCGCATTCACCCCCCTGCCCCATCCTCCCTTGCCTCTGTCCTGTGTGTACATTCATGTTCCTCTTGCATGATTTCTATGTGATGATGCTTGGGCATATGCATCGACGGACCCTTCGATAGGAAGGTCGGATGAAGGGCCAAGCATTTGTCACACTTCCAACTCCAGAGCTTGCTACAGAAGCATTGGTAAGTTGCGCTTACATAAAAGTCCAGGCTGCAGTACACTAATGTTTTTATTTCAAATGTTACACCTTTTCTGTTCACATTTCACTTTCTGCAGGATGCCACACTTGGACTTGTGTTGCACGGGAAACCAATTATTGTGCAATTTGGTCGAAAATAAGTTCGCTGTTCATGTATCTCGACTCACGATTTGAAATAGTACCTTTCTAGTCTGTATTGCTTCCAAGATTTCCATATCATTGCACACTCTATATATCGCATAGAGCAGGGAAAGGAGAGGAGTGAGGAATGGACAACAAGGCACATGTTATCTATTGTAGAAGTTCTTCCACTTATGAAGCTATCACCCAAATCCTTGGTATGAATTCATCAGCATTAACACTTAATTTCACATACTATTTCAGAGACTTCCACAAAACATGTCTTATGTATTTTTCGGAAAAAGACAGTTCAGTGTTAGTGCTGATGAAAATCTAACACTGAATTTAAAATGGAATTCTGGTTGCTGCTAGATTCGCGGTGTTCCTTTATTCCACATAGGAGTTGGTGACCAGCCATTGGGTAAGGGCGAGGGCTAGGCGTAGGTCCCTACTAAATTTAGGGGTGAATGAAAACCACGAGGAATATACAGTAGTTTGTAGGGCATCGAGGTCGATATTGTCACATATTCAGCCTCAAGAATTTTCACCGGCCTAAGGAAATACTCTCACGATGTGGCATTTCACTTCCCATGTTCGGCGGTGTGCTCGTGCTCCACGGTAAACGACGCGACTCGAAATGCGGCGCGCCGAAGTGGCACATTGAATATCAAATTCACTCACAAGTATAGATTCGAGGCAGCCTCAAATTCATTCAGCACAGCCATCATTGAGCCTCTCGACTTATACGCCACAACTACCTAGTCCTACTGGCATTCTGCTTCGTAAATCGCAAGAAAACGGCAACCATGGCTCAGAAGGTCGCGGTTTTCGTCGTCACCTTGGCATGCATCGCCGCAGTAGGTAAGCTGACGAGCAATCCGTCGCCGTATCTTAGCCCAGTCACACCGTCCAATGACGTCTGGCAGGCTTATCATGGATGCAAACGCTGTGAACTCTCTCAGCACACAAGCTGACGGATTTCGTGAGCTTTCTTTCGCAGGTTTTGCGCGCCCACCGGCGAGCGTTCGCACTCAGCTGGCGAAGATTGAGAAGAACGACGTGTTCCTGGGAACGTACCAGGGGTCGCTGTACGCTGAGCTGGACCACGTGGACGGCGCCGACAAGATGTCTGACGGCTATGCCTACATGGCAATCTACAAGTAAGCTCATGCATGGCAATCCGCTGGGAAGCGAAATCTGAAAAACAAAATCATATCATCACTTCCTGCACTCAAGTCCAAATCTGCCACGAACCTGCAAAAAAAACCCGCAGCGACATTTCCTTCACTTGAAATGAGACTCGACAAAGCAAGGTGGCACATTTTTTTTCGATTCCTTGATACTGAACCCGTGATCCATTCGCAAGGACGACGATTACAACATTCGCTTCGGCGGAGAGGCGGAATCCAAGGAGCCTGGGGAACCCACCGCGTTCACAGTCAACAGCGCGGCCGACAACAGCCTTGTTATCGACCTGGGCGCGGGCCAGACGTATAAGAACGCCACGTACGAGCTCCGCGTGTTCAAGTTCCTGCAGAAGTTCATTCCGTACTCGTACAAATTCAAGGGCAAGTGGACGCAGGCCAGCACTGTTACCGTTGCCGCGGGCACCCTTAAGGACACCGTTGACGCGATGAAGCAGAACCCTAAGAACTACTACGCGATTTTCAACACCGCGACGAACCCTGCTGGTTGCGCCAAGGGCGAGTTTGACTTCATTCAGCCATGGTGGAAGCGCCTGTAAGCAGGAGAATGGCTATTAGCAACAAGGAGCTCGGTTCAGCATGGGCTAACGAATTGCTTTGATTTGTTTTTTTTGGAAGGGGGGGGGGGGGGGAATAGGCTTGATGATTGGGATGTGTAGGAGCCTGGTATGCAAGTGCAGGGCGTAGGTTCACTCCCTTGGTGAACAATTTCCTCCATGTGAGAGAGCTTTTCTTTTTTATGTTTTGGTGGGTTGCTTTTTCTACTGGAAGTCTCAGTACATATATTGGTCAATTTTCACTTCTCCTTTTCGTATGTACTTTGAGGAACGTTCTTCACAAACGTACAGAAACAGTTAAAAGTCACTGGGAGTAATACAGGGTTTGAAACCTGAACCCTAGGGTGTCCAGTGCGTTTGAGATTCTCCTTCACCTTTTATGGAAAGGCAAATGTGATCAGATTTTGTTGTACAGCGGTGTGTGTGTGTCCTGGTAGAGGTTTGTTATTTGCAATCTGAAATGGAGAGTTTCATCCATATTCCATAAAGGGTACCCTTGTGCTGAAACGAGGGGGAAACAGGTGGTACATCTACAGGTGGAAAAGTAAATTGAAAAGCTAATTGTTTTATACCAATTTCATTTAATTACATATAAGATGGTACAAAAAAAATTTAAACAACTGAATATCAGTAAAAATTTCGAGCCAGATAGTTACGTACACTTATCTTCTCAAAACAAGGTTTTTTGGCACGGAAAAACTTATCTACCCAAAGTAGCTAAGGTATTAACAGCATTCAGTTTGTAGTGGTGCAGTCTAATCCGGGTTATCCCAGTCAGCAGCACCAAGCACAACCGCACTTTTTACCTCAATGCTGACACTACATATGTCCACTCCCCAGTAACGAGCGAAAAATAGTAATTGCAGCCACTACGCTTTCTGAGGTGTCAAGAATATTCTCTCTCTAATCCCGCACTTCAACGTCGCTCTCACCGCTCCCTTCCCCACTCCCCCCGGTAAATGGCGGCCGTAGCCGCCGCCAACCCATCTGCTGCGGCAATCGCGCCGCCGTCAGCGTCGGCGCCGCCGACGGCGGCGGAGGCGGCGGAGAGCGTGCGGCAATTCCGACTGGAGCGCGAGACGGAGCTGCGCGTCGAGGTGGAGTGGGACGCGAAGCTAGCGGTGAAGCTTGTATCGGGTACGGCGGAGATCTTCGGGTCCGAGATCGCGGTGGGGCAAAACGTCGCCTTCGACGGCGGGGAGAAATTCGCGGTGGGTGCGCAGGGGGAGAGCAGGCAGGGGCGCGCGGGTGGAAGGTGGAGGGCGGAGGGCGGAGGGGGAACGGATGCAGATGGCGGAGGGAAGGCGGAGGGCGGGGCGTTTTCGGGAGAGAATGGGGAAAGAGGAGAATATGGGGAAGGTGGGGAAGGAGGAGGGAGGGGGGAATGGGGAAAAGGGAACAAGGAGGAGGGAAGGGGGGAACTGGAGGAACGGGGGAACCGGGGGAACGGGACCTTGGGAACGGGGGAATGAGGGAACGATAATGGGGTTCCGGGGGCGGACATGCGCTGACCCACTAGTTCCCCCTCCCCCCCTTTCAGGTATTCACCTGGCATGGTTGCAGTCTGGAGGTGCGCGGGATGGGTGCTTGTCCCCCTCTTGACCCTCTTACCCTTTCTCTCCCCCTTCCCCCTTCCCCCCTTACCCCTTTCAGGTATTCACCTGGCATGGTTGCAGCCTGGAGGTGCGCGGGTCGCCAGCACTACCAGATGCCATGTATGCAGCAGACGAGGTATGGGGAGGGGTTTGGTGGGTAGGGGTGGTAGAGCTCTGTTGGATGAATGAGTGTGTGAGTGCATGTGTTATCTTTGGGTTTCCAACACTGCCGGATGCCATGTATGCTGCAGACGAGGTGCGGGGGGAAGGGGGAAGAGAAAAGTAGATTCGACCCAGATCACCAGACTTAGCTCGTTCTAGTGTCCACTAATCTATGCTTAGACTAGGTAGGGGTTGAGTAAGCAAGGAAAATATCATTCCAAGACTGAGCGTACGCGCGTTTCGGCCGATGTCCTTCGTCATCGATCTCAGAATTTACAAGAAAATACTACTCCTTATCTAAACCAAGAAACGAAACGAAAGTCCAGTGCGGCTCGTCGTGCAGCTCGCTAGCTAGCTGTACATACAATTTACACAATGCAATTCAACATGCAGGTTGGTGGGATGAAATTCAATCCCATCACCTCACGGGGGTGGTGTATCCCCGATTTTGAAACCTCGCTTTTACCAAAAGGTTGCGTAACCTTTTTGGCAAACGCCAACACACTAAAAACTGTGGGAGGGAGATTTTATGCTGCGTATGTTTTTTGAGAATTCTCAAAAAACATACAGTGCCGGATGCCATGTATGCTGCAGACGAGGTGCAGGGGGAAGGGGGAAGAGATTCGATTGTGAGTGAGTGAGTGAGTGAGTGAGTGAGTAAGTGATTGAGTGAGTGAGCTATCTCAATCTTCACACGGAGCCTCATGCCCCCCTACTATCACCTTGCTCTTTTCCCCCCTCACAATCCCTTCCCCATTCCCCGCTCCCCGTTCCCCAGACCCCCATGGTGAGCTATCTGAATCTCCATGCGGTGCTGAACGTGCGGCGAGTGGAGGCAGCTAGAAGCCTCATGCGTGCGAAACAGCAGTTGGCACAGCTGCAGCAGCAGCAACAGCAGCTGCAGTATCAGCATCAGCAACGGCAGCAGCAGCAGCAGCATCCGCATCAGCAGCAGCAGTACCAGCACCAGTTGCAGCGGTTGCAGCGGCACAAGCAGCAGCTGGAGAACAAGATAAACTCCCTCGTTCTCACCAAGGTGATTCTCTCTCTTTGGCATGCTTAGATTTTGGTCTCTCTCAGTTTTTGACTTGCTTTAAAGCAGCAGCTGGAGAACAAGATAAACTCCCTCATTTTCACCCAAATATCGTCTCAGTTTCTGAGGTGCCTTAAAAGCGGCACTGGGAGCACAAGATAAACTCTCTCGTTCCCGGCAAGGTGATTCCCTCTTTCTTGACATGCTTCAAGAATTGTCTCACTTTCTGGGGAGCCTTAAAAGCAGCAACGGGAGCACAAAATCAACTCCCTGTTGCCCACCAAGTTGACACTCCTCCTTTCATCTTCAAGCTCCTTTTCAGGTTTTGAAGCGTCTCGATCTCCCATGAGTCCTTCTTGTCGTTGATCCGACAGACTTTGTCGTTGATCCGACAGACTTGTTGAGCTAGCGTTCATTTGTCCCAACAGACTTTGGCAAATCAACGCTAGCTCGGATCGGATGCTGCTCTGCTGGGCGGCCAGGCAGCAGTGGCACCCCACCTACGTGGATCTACACGTGGCTTACAGCAGTCTCACAGTGCTTCTCGTCTCGTGCTCCCTCCTCCTCTGTTTTCCTCTCCTCTACCGCTTGCCCTATCACCCCAGGTCCCCAGAGTCCAGCTAGTCGGTCCCACAGATAGTGGCAAGTCAACGTTAGCGCGCATGCTGCTGTGCTGGGCGGCCAGGCAGCAGTGGCACCCCACCTACGTGGATCTAGACGTGGCTCACAGCAGTGTCACTGTGCCGGGGGCTGTGGCTGCCACGCCAGTGGAAGCACCGCTTGAAGCGAACGCCAGGAGTGTTGAAGAAGCTCCCTTGGTGCTGTTCTATGGCCACACCAACCCTAGGTAAGGGGTGGGAAGCAGCAGGGGTGGTGTGTGTGGCTCACAGCAGTGTCACCGTGCCGGGGGCTGTAGCCGCCACGCCAGTGGAAGAACCTCTAGAAGCCAACGCCAGGAGTGTTGAAGAAGCTCCCTTGGTGCTGTTCTATGGCCACACCAACCCCAGGTAAGGGGTGGGAAGCAGCAGGGGTGGTGTGTGTGGCTCACAGCAGTGTCACTGTTCCGGGGGCTGTTGCTGCCACGCCAGTGGAAGCACCTCTTGAAGCCAACGCCAGGAGCGTGGAGGAGGCACATCTAGTGCTGTTCTATGGACGCACCAACCCCAGGAAAGTGCGGCGGAAGGGGGAAATATATATGTCAAGGGCATGGTGGGCAACAGACAGGCGACTGGGCATTCAGGCAACCTTACAGGTCACCTGCTTTCTAACACCATATTTCATATCCTCCTCCCTTAATTCCTCCCCTCTCCCCACCATAGTGCGAACCTTGACCTATACCGTGCTCTAGTGACGGCACTTGCAGAGGCGACAGACAGGTGACTGGGCGCAGGTAACAGTTCCCCCCCTTTACTCTCCCTTCTCCCAGAGATCACCAGAGTTCGCATCCTCTTCTCCCCCTTTACTCCCGTGTTTCCCCATACCAGTGCCAACCTTGACTTATACCGTGCTCTGGTGACGTCACTGGCAGAGGCGACAGACAGGTGACTGGGAATTGAGTCAACCCTCACCCCCACCCTTGAGATCGCATATCCCCTTACACCCTCTGTACCCTCCCTCCCTCCCTCCTCATATCCCCCTTCTCCCCCTCCCAGTGCTAACCTTGACCTATACCGGGCACTAGTGACGGCGCTGGCAGATGCGACAGACAGGCGGCTGGGCATCACACCCTTGGGAGAGGCAGGAGGGGAGGAGTGGGGTGGGGAGGGGGAGAGGGGGGGAGCAGGGAGGGAGGCAGGAGGAGGGGCGGCAGCTATAGGAGCGGCAGCTATAGGGGCGGCAGCTATAGGGGCAGTGCCTGTGGAGGCAGCAGCAGCAGGGATGATAGCGAACAGCATGGGATGGGTGGATGGGGCTGGTTACCAGGTATGTATGTTGATAGTGCTGTGTTAGTGGTCTGGGTTACCGGGTATGTTGGTTCAAAGGCCACTGTCCTGAACAGTAGGGTGGGCAGCAGGAGGGGCGGCAGCAGCAGGGATCATAGCGAACAGCATGGGATGGGTGGATGGGGCTGGTTACCAGGTGCGCGTTGGTGGTGCTGTGTTGATTGGGCTGGTTACCAGGTGCGCGTTGGTGGTGCTGTGTTGATTGGGCTGGTTACCAGGTGTGTCTTGGTGGGGCTGGGTATGAGGTATGTGTTAATACGTCTGGGTACCAGGTATGTTGGCCCAGGGGTCACTATCCACTGCCTGCAGTAGGGTGGGCAGCAGGGGGGGGGGCAGCAGGAGGGGCGGTGCCAGTGGAGGCCGCAGCAGCAGGGATCATAGCGAACAATATGGGATGGGTGGACGGGGCTGGTTACCACGTTAGAGGTTTACGGACGGTACCAATTCCACCTTATTCTTCCCTCGCCGTTTCCTGTCCACCTTGAAAGATTGTTTCCCATTCCCATACCTTGTTAGTACGCACGCCATGAACCAGAACAGAGGTTTCTATTGTTGTTATCTTTTTTGAGACGTCTCAAAAATCTACTTTCTACACGTGGCTTTTCTATTGTTGTTATCTGCTCCCTCACCTCCTGCCCTCAGTGCACGTTCTCTCCTCGTTGCCTCTGCAGCTGCTGCTTCACTCCATTGATGCCTTACGGGCCAACGTGGTGCTTGTACTGGGGCAGGTGCGTCTGATTGAGATTCTCTGGTAAGCTACCTTGATTTTATAGTGCGTTTGTTGGGGTAAGCAAGCATCAGTGTAGCTACACTGATGCTCTGGTAAGCTACCTTGATTCTCTGGTCAACGCACGTAGACAATCAACGTGGTGCTTGTACCGCAGCAGGTACGTCTGTTTGTGATTTTCTGATCAGCAACCTTCATCTCATAGTGCAGCTAAGTACAAGCTTAGTGTAGCTAAGGCCTACGTGTTGTCGGTTAACGTGGTGGTGCTTTTTCTGGGGCAGGTGCATATGTTTGAAACTCCCTGACAAGTCACCTTCGTTTCATAGTGTATGTGTCAGTGGTGCGTGTACTGGGATGACATGCTTAGCGCCAGTGTAGCTAAGGTCAACGTCCCTGGAGCCCTCATTTGCTCTTCACCTCAGAAGCAGGTTCTCCTTCCCCTTCTCCCCTCCCCCACCCTCTCCTCATCACAGGAGCGGCTCTACAGCATGTTGTCGGGGCACTACCGAAGCAAAGCCGTAGCTGCTGATGGTGCTGCTGGTGCTGATGGTGGTGCTGCCTGCCAGCAGCAGTCACATAGCGGAGATTGAGGTGATGAAACTCATCCTCTCCTTGCGATCTGTCCTCGTCTCCCCTGCCCCGCCTCCTCACCACAGGAGCGGCTCTATAGCATGTTGTCGGAGCACTACCGGAGCAAAGCCGCGGCAGCTGCTGCTGACGGTACCCCTGCCAGCCATGCAGCAGCGGTTTTGAGACGTCTCAAAACTAGACGTCTCAAAACTAGACGTCTCAAAACTAGCTGCTGCTGATGGTACCCCTGCCAGCCATGCAGCAGCGGTGGAGGAGATGCAGCTTGTTCTCTCTTAGCCCCAGGAGCTGATTCTCTTACCCCCTTCTTCCCCCCCTTCTCCTCACCACAGGAGCGGCTCTACAGCATGCTCTCGGAGCACTACCGGAGCAAAGCCGTGGCAGCTGCAGCGGATGGCACCCCTGCCAGCCATGCAGCAGCAATGGAGGTGGTAAAGCTTGTTCGGTCCGGAGGTGCTGTGTCTCGTGCCTCCAAGTTCAGACAGCGGCTGAGGCAAGCAGTCATCAAGGTACCAAGTAAAAAAAGAAACTAAAACACGGTACTTCTTGTTTACCTGGTAACCAGCCGGATGCCACCCCTGATTTGTAGCTTCTTCTTTTGTACACATATATATACATATGTATATACACATTTTTTTCTCTCGTGCATCATGTGCTGGCCTTATTCTCCTTGTTTTTTCCATCTCCCTTTTCTGTTTCAACAGGCGTACTTCTACGGGCCAGAGCGGCAGTTTTCACCTCATTCGAGCACGGCCAGCTGGTCGGAGTACACGGTGCTGAGGGTAGGGGGAGGGCCGCAGGCACCGCAGTCAGCGCTACCCATCGGGGCAGCGAGGGTTTCAGACCCTCTTCGCACTGCACCAGTGGTTCTTTCACGGGAGCTGGAGCATCACGTGCTGGCAGTTTCACATGCCAAAGAGGAGAAGGACGCTGTTACTGGGTGAGATTTTGTGGGAGTGTGCAAACTGTACTGTCTGTTTGGACTGGTGTGCTTTGTGTACGTCAGTGGTCGGCTGTGCTTTTCTGCGGCTGTTGTATAGCAGGTGTTGCAAGCGTTCTGATCATTTGACTCCTGTGTTTCGTTGTACCATTTCCTGGAGTGCAGGAGCATCGCTGGATTCATCTGCATTACGCAAGTGGATATTGCCAAGGGCAAGTTCATGTTCATAGCACCTAGTCCAGGGCCACTACCAGGGAAGATTCTCCTCTTTGGCTCCCTGACATGGGTGGAATAGGGTGCACGGTTTGGTGAGGGTTCGTGTACAGAAAAGGCTGGACTTTTCCGGTCATGCAGAAACTGCCACATGCTTTACAAAGTCGTCAATTCAGTAAATATCATGGTAACGAAGTAAAATATGTGTTCGCGACACATCATTGTAGCGTAGTCAACGTGGAACTGCTGTTGAAGCACAGCCAAGCCAGTCAGCTAGTCCAAGCTTGCTCTTGGCTTCTTCCACACCAATTTGCACTGTTTCCCATCGCCCTCAGCTCGCTCATAAGCCAGAACCTGCAATCAGAAGTCTAATTGTTGTTGGGCTGAGTGCCCCTTAGGATCTTTGGTAGGGTTAAACTCTGGGTAGAGTGATGTAGTAGCGGAAGCGTTTAAATGAAGTCCTTGAACCACCTTGCGCTGGTATGTGAGGGCAAAGTAAGTTGATTAAAACAAGCAAGTACAAAGGTTTATATAAGAGTACAAAGAATACGAAGAGATATAATTAAACTGTTTTACTGTTGCGGTTCGATACAGTGCGACTCGGGCAACTGCTCAATGTCGAGTCAGTTGTGTGTCCTTGCTGTCGCGCTGCATTTGTCAAGTCAAAGGTCGCTGACCTTTGACTTTCGCGTAACCTCCAGCGGTTACTTCAACCTCCGAGGGTTGACTCGCTGGTGCCTCGATATGCTCTGCTTCGCTTGTGCCTTGGTGTTTCGACACGACAGAGGCGCTTTAAGATTGTTTGTTCCCAACAATTGTCAGTTCCTATATACAACGCCACTTGGACCTTCCACACCAGAACAGACACAGATCGAGGTTGGATTTGGACAGGTAAGGCTCACCTCTCTTGCTCTCTTGTCACTTGGTGTCCAGGACAGCCGCGAATCCTCCGCCCTGCTAGAAGAGCTCCCTCTTTGATCAGACGTCTGCACGCCCTGCAGCTTCCGCTTCACCAGCACATGCTTGGGGATTTTGCTCCCTGTGTGCCGGAACTTCTGCAGCGATGCATCAGCCTCCTCTCGCCTCCTTGCAGAGTCGTCTTGAAAGAGGCTCGTGCAGACGCGTTTGTTAAGGTTTTTGGATTGCTCTCTGTCACGAAACTGCCTGTTAGTTTGAAGAGGTGCTGGTGGGGAAGCCCATCTATCCTGACTTGGAGAGCTCTGCATCAGCTGATGCTGTGGCCGATACTGCTGGGGGTTAGAAGAGCGCTGCTGCTGCTGTTGATAATAATCAGACTGGCTGTGCTGTGCCTGATAAGGACCGTGTCTCGATGGATAATGGTGGTCGTCCGACCGAGTCCTTGGGGCAGAATAGTGTGAGAGCTGAGGGGAGGAGGACATTGCACCATACGGGTTTCCCCGGGTACCAGCTGTGGGGATTTCTGAGTGGAAGGATGAGCTGCATGCAGGGTTACTCTGCTGACCTGCTGATTGCCTTCTTGACATCCAACCCTGCAAGGCAGATCTGACCCCACTTGAAGCGGAGGGAGCTTGAGAGGGCTCTGAGTCGCTTGCTCCTGCATCAAGGAATCGGAAGTTAATATTTACACAGATATATATATACATACACAAGCATAAAATACATGAAAAAATATAAAATACATGCATGAAGTCCATGCATAATATAGCTGAACTGGAAGAGAAAGCAAAGAAACATTCCCCGAACAAAGAGGCAGAGCAGGCCCACCTTGGAAGTACGTGCTACTGGCAGGTGATGCAGAATAGTGGCTGCTTGGAGAATCGGCCATTCGAGCTTGAGACATGTGGTTGCGGTAATATTCTTCATCCCGAAGAAGCGGTGCTGCATCAGCCTGCTCAATCTCAAATGCAGACGGGAAGCTCCGAGCACCGCTGGGCTCATCACCGAATGGATAGGCATCCACATCTGCACCTGGCGTAGTCAACTGCTCTGATGATCCTGGTCTGTGGTACAACTCGTGTGACTGCTGCTGGTGGAACCTGCTCTGCAGCTGCCTGCTTTCCTGCTGCTGGCGATGCTGCTGCTCATATCCTCTCCATCCACCCCCACGCTGCCCAGGATCACCATCGTCATCATCGCTCAATACCAAAGTTTCAGCTTCTGAGGCCGCCGGCCGAGACTGATGTCCCCAAGGCACATCTGGAGGTGACCTCGATCTCCTTCCAGAAGGAAAACTAGAACCCAAGTACGCAGACGAAGCAACAGCAGCAGCAGCAGAAGCAGCAGGAGGAGTAGGAGGATAAACTGAGTGCTCGTGACGTGAAGTATACCGAGGGTCTGAGTTGAAAGGCATGTTTTGATGAGGCGGTGAAATGCCAGCATATGCGCTTTCGAGATGATAACCGGTTTGCCTCATGTCACTCGGGTACATTGGCAGGTTGCCTTCTGATGGAAGTGAATTCCGTGAGCCCTGAACAGGCATGTGGATTTGAGCTGGGACTTGCTGTGCCGAAGTCTTGTGTTCACACTGGGCCTGGAACAGGCTGAGGGAGCGGGGTGGAAGGCCGCGAGGAACTGTTGCTGATGCTTGCTGCTCGTGGTGCAGGCACATGAAAACAGGCAGAGGGAAGCCCGAGGTTATGATGATGTGTGCAGAAAGTGGGTTGAGGGATGGGAATCGGCACAAGAAGGCCTCTTGGGGAGACTCGGATTCAGGCAGGGGGGTGCGGAAGGGCTGGGAGGCTGATGGTTCGGAGCCTGATTGTTTGGCAGTGGAAGGTAAAGAAGCTGCAGACAGCAGACTGAGAATCAATCTTTCGGTTGCGGCTTCAGATGACGAGAAGAAACATTGTACATCTAGATCCAGTGCTGCTCCTCCAGCATAAAGGTCATCTACGTTGCGCTTGATTTGTGTCAGATAGGCGTCAGTTCCCTCAAACACCTGCCAGATGATAAGCACAAGTTAGTGGCACTGGCTTTTGATCAAGCATGAAAATTCGTCTCATAACACCTTATTTTCAAGGGGTTTCAAAAGGAAGAGGTGTGAGACTTACCAAGAATCAAGTCTGGTAAGCGAAACTGAGAGCCTTCAGGTGGGTTTCTACAACAGCTTCAAGGCACACGGTCATCAGAGAACTCGATGGAAGCCCGTCCATTGCTGCCAATTTCTGAACTTCTTTCAGGCGCTGGGGGTTATAGATGATCAGTGAGCTTGATGCATTCAGCACAATCTCTGCTGGTGCTACCAGATCCCGTTCAATTATCTGAGAATTGGAACAACATAATCAATATTTGTTAATACTGAGAAAGAGGAAAGCACAAGAAGCTATGCAGTACCTGAATGCCGCTTTCCTCTAGCTGGAGGATCTTATCGTAGAGTTGTCTTCTTCTGAGCACAATGGGGTCAAACTGGTCCCTGGTGTTGACAATGACAGTCCTCTTGTATTCCACGGCAGCTTTCTTCTGTTCTTGAACTTCAATTGGACGATGATGTGACAGATGTTCCTCCTGCCTCCAACTGTTCGGCTCTGCGACCAGTTCAGGTTCCTCAGCAGTCGTGTATGGAGCAGAATCTTTTTAAAATGAGGCAGGATGTCTTATAGCTTCAGGTGCTGCGGAAATTTCATCATAACAGTCTTCTGGTTCGCTGTCAAGGAGAATGACTGTGGGAGCCTCTGGTTTTCGTTGCTGCTCTAAATGTTGAACCTTCTCAGACGTAATTGGGTGCACTTCCTTTGAAGCTTGCGTAGGCATGGTCTGCACGTAAAGAAAAATGGTATGAATATGGCTTTTCCACAAGAGAAGGAAGGAAGAGAGTTATTGGTAACAAACCTTGACCTTTGTTAGCAATGTCTCTTCAGGGTCCTCCACGGAAAGAATGTGGATCTTTCTGTTGGTGGAATTAAGGATACGCATATCTTCTCCTTCCACAAGATCACTGTAGATAATCACTATACTGAACTTGTTCACTGGAAATGAAGGCACCAGGTATCTGCAGGAAAACATCCACATTAGCACAAGCAAAGCATTGAACAAACAAGCCTGATCAGCAATGTGAAAAGCACACAACATCCACTTACTTCGGAGAAACCAAGAGGCAGTCTGAAATCTCAAGCGCTTCATGCACCTCCTGCTGCACAATCTCCCACTTCCCCTCTGGTATCCCCCTCCCATCCACTCCAGTGAGCATTCCAGAACGTCCGAGCTGGAAGGGCTGGAACTGGCATGTGCCCAGCAGCTTGTACATGGTGAAAAACGCCATGTTGTCAGAGACAATCAGCACATTTGCAGATCCTGTAGAAGCTTTAGAGCCCTTAGAGTCTGGCACCTGGCAGGACTTCTTATGGGATCGGAGGATAGAAGTCAGCATGGAGAGCTTCGGGTGATCCACCGTTGCACCACCCTCCACCAGCTCAAATGCTGACGCCAGTGCTTCTCTGGTCCTCTTGAAGAGTGCTGCAAGGTGAGCAATGGATGCGGCTTCCAACCCCTGTTCCAGAAACAGATGAGCAACGCGGATTCCGTACTGCCAGCACAGCATTGCGGTCTGGTGAAGCAAGTACAAGCATTTCAGCTGCTGCAGCACGCGGTCCTGTGATAGCTGACCAGAAGTACGCCAGGAAATTTCTTCCTTGATGGATCGGCTGACCTCCTGCTTCAGGCGAAAGGGTTTTACAGACGTCTTAGCTTCCTTGTTCAGTGACCACAGTAGACTTCGATACTCTTCCTTGGCTAGATCCAGGATATCTGCAAGGTCCTGAGACATCTGCACTCTGTGGACCTGTGAAACTGATTCGTTCAAGGACTGGCTGGCAGCTGGAGGCGACTTCAAGCAAACGGGCTGCGCAAGAGTCACATCCTCTACCTCCTTCTCCAAAGCTCTAGCTGCATTATGTGCTCCAAAGTTGACCTCTTCTGCAAGTCTGGTTGGCTCAACTGCTGCTGCTACCTCTTGAGGCGGTTCTTGCTGAAGACTCTGTGCTTTTCCCTGCCTTGCATTCATGAAGAAATTGAGCTCGCTTGACATCTTCTGAACTTGGTCCTGGAACCCAATCCGCTTGCCCTCCTCTCTAGCTGCTGATCTTGGCGGCGGCCCTCTATCCTCGTTTCTCTTCAGCATAACACCAGAAGCAGAGGCTGCGGCATTTGTGGCACCAGCAGCAGCAGCAGCTGCTACGACAGAAGCAGACACAGCAGTAGCAGCAGCAGAAGCGGGAGAAGCAGACACAGCTGCGGCAGCAGTATCAGCTGGCGATGGTATTGACACTAGTCGACTGTGAGGCAGATTCATTGGAGAAACAGGGGGTGGTGTCACAATCGATGGTTGAGGCTGAGGCTGAGGCTGAGGCTGGGGCTGGGGCGAAGGCATGATTTTAGCATGTGAAAGTGGTACATGAAGCTTTGGTGCAGTCTGAGGTTCCGCGTGTCTAATCTGAGGCTGAAATGGCGGCTGCACTGCAGTAGCAACACGAGAAGCATGTGGTGATGGTGAGATGAATGGTGCAACGGTTGGATAGGTCGACGCAGCACCCACCGTCTGAACCAGCGCGGATGGCAGCAGCATTCTTTGCTCGATTTCCGAAACCTCTTGTGCAGAAACGCTCTGCATCCTGTCCTCAAGGAGAGAAAACAGTGAGTCAGATTGAGGTGGCTCGGATTCGAGCAGCTTAACTTTCTGAAATGATAACTTGCAGCCAGCGTTGGAACAACTGAATGAAGTGCAAGACTTGAAATCCTGTGACAGATGCCAATCTAGGTACAGGAAATCTCTTGCACGAGAAGCCATTGTCAGATTCGCCTTCACAGACTCGCTTAGAGATAAGAATGCGGAGACAGGTAGGAGATTGCCATCTCCTTGCAAATCGTCCTGCTGCAGAAGTGGAACTGGAAGCGATCGAATTCCACCACAGTTAAAAGTGAGCTGGGGAGCCACAACCAGCTCATTGAAGTCTTTCGTTGTCACGCTCATGGAGGGAAGTGCTTCAAGACGAAGGCTTTTCTCTTTGTGTATCAGCTCCACGGCCAGCTTCTCAACCATTGGTGACTGGCTGAGTGATGGGAATGGCACATCAAGCAGCGGAACAACTTCTCTCTTAGCGGAATCACGAGCAAACGTACTTGGCTCCTCCAGAACCTTGCAAAGTGTCTCTGTGTATGTCGGCTTCACTTCATCAATTGTCATCCGACCTGGACCCAGAAGCAACATCATGTTTGTACGGCTGTTCAAAAGTCCGCTCATGCCGTCTTCAGATGGCTTCATAAGATCCATCTTCTTCATGAGCGTCGATGGATCCGTCATGGAATGACCGGGACTAATGGGATCGTCCAGGATGCACGGAGGGTCCATGGGACAGAAATTGTCCATCGTTTGTGGCTTGCCGCGCTTTGAAGATGTTGATGAATTGCACGCTGTTTCGATGTCCAATAAAGAAACGAGATGTTCCTTGAATGGTGCAGATTCCATCGCCACGGGTTCTGCATCCTCCTCCGCACGTCTGATGTTCTGCCATTTTTTAGACGAATTAGCATAAAAAGAGAGTAGCCATATCGAGTCCATTCAGTGCGTGAAAGGCTTACCATCGCTGGTGGAGGATCGACGTTTTCCAGTGGCAAGGCATCACAGTCAATCTGGTAAAATATTTCCTCTCCAATTCTCTGCATGGTTACGAATTATAAGGTGGGTGCTATCAAGAAAACACAGAGAGAGAAAAACTGAGACACGCCCAAAGGGACACCGAGAGAAACCTGAAAATCCGTATCCTGCAGTAGCGGTTCCTCGAAATTGGCCATGAAGGGAGTGGGTTCAGCATCGCTAAGTTCGTTACTGTCCAGCATCCATTCGATGGTGCTGAAGCTTGACGTTTTCGGCACCACTTGCTTTTCAGGAAGAAACTGCGTGAGAATGGAAGCGGCTGCTGCTTTCGGAAGGATGGTCGCGGAGAGCTCAGAGAAATCGACGCCATGACTGAGGTTCTTGCTGTCATTCGCTAGAAGCTGAAACAATGCGACAGGTATGTCGTCGGGTAAAGCAATGTCTTCACCATCTACAATCTTAGGACACGGCAAAGTTCGACGATCTTGCTTTTGTTGTTGCTTCATTGACGCTAACGCGTAGTAGTCCACGTGATGCCAACGTAACCGCATGATCTCCAAAAAGCTCCTGACGCCTGCACACTGAATGAAGAGCACTTTCGTCACACCGTCTAGTGATACTTCAGGCAACTGGTGATCAACGTAAACTTGCAAGGGACACAATCGCTGTGACCACCACCAAGCAACGTAACTTCACTAAACGCTGTGACCTCCATTCATGGCCGAATTCTGCTTGTGATGTGGTCACTGCCTACGCTGTGAACCTCGGGGTCACCAAGATGTTGAGAAAATTGTCCTAAAATACGCGCTATACACGCCGTTTGAATTCTGAATGTCCCCTCTCGAGCCGATTCCACTTCGATCCACATAGATATTTCGTATATGGTGACATGATCAGGTAATACCCACCACCTAAAAACATGATTTCTAGCAGTGATTTCTTTCCAGTAAATCTGTCAGTTGTCAAGCCTCCAGTGTTGTTTATGCTGCTCTGCTCTAGCTTAGTACCAGTCTGGTTGACGGGATTAAATGAAAACATACATTACAGCTAAAACAAATCACACACTAATGAAGAAAGAGGGCAGTAGGGCCATGCTATTGCCCTTTAGTGTAGGTAGGGAAGGGTCAATCTGGCCAGCAGTTTTACAAGACACTCGAAATTAATCAGCTCTGCATGTGACAGGGTGGCATGAGAATGGAAAGAACACATAAGAGGCAAGTAAAAACAGAGATGCAAGATCAGAAGAGGTTGGCTTGAGGGATCAAATGAAGTAAATGTGGTTATGAGTGGCACTGGCAAGTGACAGGACAGATGAGAAAAGCAAACAGCAGAAGCAGCGGCGGCGGCAGCAGCAGGAGAATAAAAAAAAACTCCCTGAACTCACTCCATGGGTTGGCTTGTTTTGTCTGTATCTGCAAAAGTCACCTTGATGTCCGATGGCAATTGACCTGATTGGAGCGCCTGATGTGGTGCAATGGGGTGGGGTGGCATGGGGTGGTTTGAAGTGGGATGCAATGGGGTGGGGTGGGATGAGTTAAGGTGAATGTGACTGGGCCCCCAAAAGGCACATTCCTGTTCAATGGTAATTGGCCTGATTGCCGCGATTGGTGAGGTGTGGAGTGGTGAAGTGACGTGACGAGATGAAACAAAAAAAATCAAGCTTTTTGATTGGTTGGTATGACCACAAACACGCAAAAGCGCAACTGGAAGCCTTATGGCACTTGATTGCACTGCATGGTGTGGTGTGGTGTGGAGTGGTGTGGCGTGGCGTGGTGTGGTTTGGTGTGGTGTGGTGTGCTGTGCTGTGCCACTCTGCTGTGCTGTGCTAAGCTGTGTTGTGGTCCCACATATACATGGGCAAACGAGTCGAGTTTTTACTAGACTCGTTTTAGGTACTCGAAAATAACGAGTTTTGAGTTCTGATTTTGGTAAAAAAAACTCATGAAAACGAGTCGATTTTTACTCGCGAGCTTAAAAAAACTCGTGAAGAACTCGGCTAGACAGGCGAGTTTCCCATAACTCGCGAGTTTTTTTTCACTCACGAGTTTTGTTTAACCTAGACGAGTTTTACAAAACTCGTGCATCAAATGGTCCACCACGGGGGGTACAAATGTCTGTTTCTGGGTTAATATGCTGCTGGAGGTGTGGCTCGCTGTTTTAGATGTGTTCCACCACTTAATTGTGAACACTAGTGCATCTGGCGTGGCGGTGAGTAGCTTGGTTGGAGAGTGAAAGGAGGGAGGAGAGGTGGGGCTGGCTGGGTCGTTTGTGGGTGTTGACGCGTGTGACAGTTTTCTGGGCACCCTACAACTGTTTTCATGTGGCTGGGGTTTTAGGCTAGGGTAGTGTTTAAATTCGAGTCTTACTTGACTCGGATGAGTTTTTTTTAGGCGCATCCGAGTTTTCAAAAAACTCGACTTTGGGGCCGAGTTTCGAGTCAGCATTTTGACCAAAAAAACTCGACGAGTAAAACTCGACTCGACTCGTCAAAGGGAAAAAACTCGTCAAAACGAGTCAAGTAAAACTCGACTCGCCATTTGTTTGGCGACTGGGCTAGTGGGTTTGATGTGCAAAGTGCCTATGGAGACGGACATGTAGCGTGCCCATTGTGCAAAATGCTAACCAAGACATCTTATAATGGCAGTGTAGTGCGGTAATCTGCAGAATGAAAAAGGTACCCCACAGGTCGGCTCAGAATGAAAGCAAGCAGGACGTGCAACAACCTACCTTTTCCAGACGTGCAACCTCCTCCAACGTCTGAGCTGTGCTGATTGCAGCCTGCAAGGGGAGCAGAACAGAAGCACGAGGGGACGCAGTGCACGAGGGGCAGAAGAAGACGAAAAGCATGAACAACAAGAAGTGCAACCTGTTCCAACGTCTGAGCCGTGCTGATTGCAGCCTGCAGGGGGAGACGAGGGGCAGCACGAGCATGGGGGGACGTAGAGGCACGAGGGGCAGAATGAGGAAAAGCATGAACAACAAGACGAGCAACCTCTTTCAACGTCTGAGCCGTGCTGATTGCAGCCTGCAGGGGGAGCAGCGGCAGCAGGGGGAGCAGGGGGGTAAGGGGCACGAGGGGCACAATAAGGGCAGCATGAACAGCAAGACGAGGGTTTACGGTCTGGATGAAACATGCAAATCTTCATCCCCCCCCTCCCCCCGAAAACAAACCGCAGCTGCGAGCTATGCTAATCCAAATAAATGAATCGCCAAAACATCAACCAGGCAGCACAATCCGTCAGCTATAGCATATATTGTTCGCCATGAGAACCTTCACCTTTACGCATGGATGGAACTTGTAATCAATCACCTTGATAGCAGTGATCTGCTCTGGTGTCGGCCCTTTCGCTGCTGCTGCAGCAGCACCCGCCCCCGCCCCCTCCCCTCCTTCCTTCCCACCATCACCAGCACCACCAGCTGCTCCTTCCCCTCCCCCTCCAGCTCCCCCTGCTTCTGCAAGTGCCTCGCCAGGCACAAATGTGTTGGCTGACACACGCTTGGCCGCCTCTGCTGCTGCTCTGTCCTTTCCGAATGTTGCCTCTGCCTCTTGCCTCTCCTGAGGGAGCGGAGGGTAGGGAGGGAAGGGTGGGAGGGGGGGAAGGGAGGGGAGGGAGGGAAGGGAGGGAAGGAGGGGAGAGACGGGAGGGAGGGAGGGGAGGGAGGGGAGGGAGGGGAGGGATGGAGGGAAGCGAGGGAGGGAAGGAAGGAGGAGAAGCACGAACGTGTTGGTTGATACGCGCTTAGCCGCTGCTGCTGCTCTGTCCTTTCCGAAAGTTGCCTCGCCTTCTTGCCTCTCCTGAGGGAACGGAGGGAAGGGAGGGAAGGGTGGGAGGGGAGGGGAGGGAGGGAAGGAGGGGAGGGGAGGGAGGAAGAAGAGGCACGAACGTGTTGGCTGATATGTGCTTGGCTGCTGCCGCTGCTGCTCTGTCCTTTCCTAATGTCGCCTCTGCCTCCTGTCTCTCCTGCAGGTGGGGGGGAGGGAAGGGAGGGGAGGGAGGGGAGGGAGGGGAGGGAGGGGAGGGAGGGGAGGGAGGGGAGGGAGGGAGAAACGTGTTGGCTGATACGTGCTTGGCCGCAGCTGCTGCTGCTCTGTCCTTTCCAAATGTTGCCTCCGCCTCCTGCCTCTCCTGCCAAGTGGAGAGAGGGGAGGGGAGGGAGAAGAGGCGCGAACGTGTTGGCGAATACACGCTTGGCCACTGCTGCTGCTCTGTCCTTGCCGAATGTTGCCTCGGCTTCTTGCCTCTCCTGGAGGAGGTGAGGAGGACGAAGAAGGTGAGGAGTAGAGAGAGTATGAGGTGAGCGAGGGAGGGAAGGGGACAGATGGAAGGACAGACACACTAGCAACGCACCTTCAGCTTGACTTTGCGAAAGTCGAGGAGACGCAGTTTCGGCAGCAGGTGGATGGCGTAGAGGCGGTACTTGGGCTTCTTGACGACGGTGTTGTCGAGGAGAGAGAGCGAGGTGAGGGAGGGGTAGAAATGGGAGAGGGGGAGGGAGGCATACACAAGCCAACACACCTTCAGCTTGACCTTTCGGAAGTCGAGCAGACGCAGGTTGGGCAGCAGGTGGATGGCGTAGAGGCGGTACTTGGGCTTCTTGACAACAGTGTTGTCGAGGAGAGAGAGCGAGGTGAGCGAGTGGGCGAGGGACGCAAGCGGATCTAGATCTGCCAAGTTGGTGAGACGGTTGTTGGCGAGAACTAGAGTTTGCAGCTTGGGGAGTTGGGCTGGTGGGGGGGAAGAGAAGAGAAAAGGGAGGAAGATAAGAGAGGGGTAAAGGGAGGAGGAAAGGAGACGGGAAGCAAGGGGGGAAAAGGGGGAGAACCGAGGTGAGGGAGTGCGCCAGAGATGCAAGCGGATCTAGATCTGCCAGGTTGGTGAGACGGTTGTTGGCCAGGACTAAGGTCTGCAGCTTGGGGAGTTGGGCTGGCAGCAAGGAAAGGAGGGGAAAGAAGAGGAAAGGAAGAGAGCGAGGTGAGGGAGTGAGCCAGGGATGCCAATGGGTCGAGATCTGCCAGGTTGGTGAGGCAGTTGTTGGCCAACACTAGCTTCTGCAGATTGGGGAGATGGGCTGGAGGTGGGGAGGGAAGGGGTGAAGGAAATCACAGGGACTAAAAAACGGAAAAGAAAGGAGAGTGGGATGACAGGAAAGAGAAGGGACACACTCGTGCTACCTCGCTGCGGGCTGATGCGTAGCAAAAAGGGGGGGGGCATACTAGTCAGATGTATAGGCATGTAAGTAAGATGTCTATTCACCACATGACATGATACGTACTACCTAGCTGGGGGCTGATGCGGGTGATGCGGTTGTTGCAGAGCAGCAGCGTGGAGAGCCGCCGCAGCAGCGGGAACCCCTCCAGCTTCACAATCTCGTTGTCTGACAGGTCGATGCTGTCAAACAGGTCCTGTGTGGTGAAGTGAGGTGGGGAAGGGAATTCACAATATTGGTGGGCCAAAAGGGAGGTGCAGCAGAGGGAACCCCTCCAGCTTCACTATCTCGTTGTTGGACAGGTCGATGCTGTCAAACAGGTCCTACGAGGGGGAGAAGGTAGGGTCGGGGGCAGCAGGGTAATGAGGGGGTAGGGGAATGAAGCAGCAGCGGGAAACCCTCCAGCTTCACAATCTCATTGTCTGACAGGTCGATGCTGTCAAACAGGTCCTACGATGGGCGAGCCAGAAGGGAGGGATAGAAAGGGGCAGGGAGGGTAAGGGAAGGACGGTTGCAACAGAGGGAACCCCTCCAGCTTCACTATCTCATTGTCTGACACTGAGAGGTCGATGCTGTCAAACAGGTCCTGGTTGGACAGGTGGAGAGGGAGCATACAAAAACAAAATCACACGCCGTGCGCTGCTGCAGCAGTGGGGGATCCCTCAAGCTGCACTCTCAAACAGGTCCTGGTCAGGAGGAAGGTGGGGTAAGGGGGATACACGGAGGAGCGGAAGGGAGCATGCATTGACATGTGTGAAGACGCAGAAGGGGAAGTTTCTCTCAAGCTTCCAACCAGCGACACTCGAAGGTTGTCTGACAGGTCGATGCTGTCAAACAGGGCCTGGTTGGCAGGGTAGTGGAGGATACACTGGTGAGAAGGAGAGTATGCATTGTCATAAGTGCAGGTGCAACAGAGGGAGTTTCACCAGCTTCGAACCAGCTACACTCTCTCTCTCTCTCTCTCTCTCTCTCTCTCTCTCTCTCTCTCTCTCTCTCTCTCTCTCTCTCTCATTGTCTGACAGGTCAAGGCATTCAAACAGGTCCCGGTATGTGATGACGGGATGGGTGCGGCCAGAAGGGAAAACGGGGGAGCTAGGGTTTGGGAGCTGTTTAGGAAGCGTGTGTAGGGAAGGGATGAGACTTAAGCAGCTGCAAGTCGGAATTGCAGAGAGGTTTGATTTTAGCAGGAAATGGTTCAGTGTGGAAGGGAAAAATAGATTGGTCCTGAGGGGACGGGTCTAGCGATGGGTTTGAAACAGTAGCGCCTAGATACTCGGTTTTCATTGAATATTATACCCCGCTAGTCCGTTAAGTCTGTAAAATTAGGTATAAGGGGAAGGGTCTATGAGATTGCTATGAACATGCATGTGAAATTCGGAGAAGGAAGATCAAGGGCACTACTTTGAAGAGAAAGGCTAATGCAGGTGCAGGCAGCAGATAGGTAGAGCTCACCTCTGTGGCTCCGAGATTCTCAATGACTGCGATCTTATTCCCTGCCATGCATTCAGGGACATAACACATCATGCGGGCGCAACATGCAGTCAGATTATACAGTCACATCAGTTGTGTGCTTGAAACGGATGTACATCTCACCAAAGAAGAGGTTTTCAAGGACGGTGATGGAAAATACGGAAATCTATCTTGGAAAACAATTGACTTGACGACATTAGATTGACGGCGTTAGCATGATACGAACAGAATCACAACGACGTCAAGGTGGAAGAGGTATTTAGCAAGACGACTCAGAATTGAATGGCCGAGAAAGTTTTTTTTGCAAATTCCAACGTTCTACTGAAATAATCTGGGTCAAAATGCATGTCAGTAACGGGGTTCTGCCTTAACTGAGAATTAAGAGGAAAATTTTGTCGATCCGCCGAAGCAGACTTCTCTGGTAATATATCGAATTGGTCCATGGCGAAATCGGTAGGGCTCGTAAAAAATCAAAAATTGCTTTTGTGCAACTAAAAAGCCACACGTTTCGAGCGATGGTAGGGTGTCACGCACCTCTCAGATCAATTTCTCGTTCTCGCACCGCGTTGAAATACTGCGGCGACTCGAGGATCAGATCAGCGGTTAAACGGACCATGATGGCGCCACCTGCGAAGGCTAGCGAAATCCGTCAGACGGAACGGCGTAAGCTAGCCGACGCTAACGACTCACGCAGCGCGTGTAAAGAAGCGGATACGCTACCACTCTCGAACGAATCGGCCGGTATGGACCTAGGTTCAAAGGGAAATGGCGGATAAAGCGGTTCGAAACGCAGTGACCCTGCTAGTGGCTGGTTGATTGACGATGAGGTGAAGTTCTTATGTGTGTTGGTAGTCAGCTCACATACCACGGTTTTGTATGGTTTGTTACGGTCCAAACTGGTAGTTACGGTAGATCATTTGCAGCTCTGTCGATGGCTACTGAACCGTGTAAAACACACTTAGCATCGTTTATAACACCTTTGTGACCCCTATAAACTCTCTTCCCCAAGTTGGCCGGCTTCGCTCTCCCTGATTCACACACACCCCAGAATTAGCATGGAACTTCGAAGCTTGATCTGCCACGTCGTCATGATCGGCCCACAGCGCACTCTTTGTGCAAGCTTTTAGTGAGTAGTACACAGTTTGGCCAACATAGTCCTTCATCAGCCGTGAGTCACACACATAGCGAACTATTCTTTCGCCTTTTACTAAAGAATACCGTGTGCGTTTCTCATCAAGCGGCATATCACAATTTTTGGAGTGCCTTTTCGGAGGCACCACAAACGAATCTTGAAACGGTATTGGCTTCCAGGAAAGTCTGTTCTGCTTTTCGTTACAATCGCATAACCTGAAGGCTTAGGAAAGTTGGGGATTTAACAAGAATGTGGAATATCTATCCCTAAAATTCCTGTCAAACGTTCTCATTCCAACCAGTGAACGGACCATTCATGGGAGAGTTCGGCCATATCATGGTGGAAATTCGGCAACTTCCAACAACTCATTAGTCGGGGAGCTCCCCGACCTCATCTGCTCCTAGCGCTTCAGTCGGTCTGCATTTAGACCCCATTCGCTATTGTCACCAATCCACATCGTCGCCATGGCGTCAAGGTCGGCTTCTGATTCGCTGTCCGTTCCGCGCACTCTGCTCCCGCGAATCCACACGGACTCCGTGCTGTGCTGCCACGTGGACTCTTCCGATTGCCTCCTCGCGACTGGCAGCGAGGTGAGGCGCGTCGAGACTCGCACGCTACTTAGCCTAGCATAGTAACCATATCGCGAAAACGATTTGTCTCGCGTTAGACGCTACGAGGCGTCTCGCTTTTGGACGCTAGCGGAAATGAATCCGCGTTACTAGGGTTTGCGAAACCCGTGAACTCAAACCCACGTGGTTGTGGATCGTCAGTTGTGAAGCCGTTAGTTCGTTAAGCTCTTAACTATGCCTGCACTTTGTTGACGCGAATATGCTGTTCGGTTCTCATCACACACCCATGATGCACCCATCGTGCGTGCTTCTCTCAAGAATCTTGCTTGCGTACGATCACAAGAAGGCTTCCTGCACTCAAGTAAGCTTCCTGTGAGAAGCAGCGACGTGCCTTATGATGAGTCCAATCACAAGGCAAATCTGTGTGCGCTTATCCGTGCATCCCTGAACGAACACATCCCTGCATGCCCCCATGCTTTCACCCCCATTCAGGATGGCAGCATGGCAGTGTGTGACCACCGCTCCCCAGCGACGTGGTTTATGATTCCACTCACAAGTCTTTCCTGTGTGCACTCACCCCTGCATCCCTGCATCCCTGCATCCCTGCATCCCTGCATCCCTGCATCCCTGCATCCCTGCATCCCTGCACGAACACATGGCTGCATGCTCCCATGCATTCACCCCCATTCAGGATGGCAGCATGCCAGTCTGTGATCTACGCTAGCGAGGTGACGTTTGACTTTACTCAGAAGTCATTTTTGTGTGCATTCATCCCTGCATCCCTGCACTCCTGCACCCTCCCATGCATTCACCACCATCCAGGACGGCAGCATGGCGGTCTGTGACCTGCGCTCCCCACCGAGGTGACTTCTGAGTCTACTGACAACTTATTGTAGTATGCTCCTCCCCGCATCCCTGCATCCCTGCATGTCCCCCCATGCATTCACCCCCATCCAGGATGGCAGCATGGCAGTGTGTGATCTACGCTCACCGGCACAAACCCCTCCCATCCACCTCACCTGCTTTGGCGGAGCCTCGGTGCCAAGCCTGCTCTTCCTCCCGGGCACGTTTCTCTCCTTATACACCTATTTTATTTCTCCCTATGCATTCAATATTCTATCTATCACTATACCTTTGCACCCATTAGTGTTCTCTTACCACGTACGTAATGTTGTCACATGAACACAACTAAAAAGTAAGTCTCAAAAGCACCTGCTCAACGCTCCTTTTCCCCTCACTTCCTCTTCCCCTTTCCCCTCCCCCCACCCACCCCACTTCGCTCGCCTGCTTCCCTCATCAGGTCAAGAGCACGTGCTGGCAGCTGCTGCTGGGAGCTAAAGCTTCTCTCACCGCTCCCTCCCCATGCCACTCCCTGCCTTCCCATTCCCATCAGGTCAAGAGCACGTGCTGGCAGCTGCTGCTGGGAGCTCTGTTTTCCTGGTTGACAGGCGAAAGGTGGGGAAAGAAAGGGGGCTGGGGAGGGGAGAGGGGGTTGGGGAGGGGAATGGGTGTTGGGGAGGGGAGAGGACATATGGCTGATAGGGGTCAGGGCTGCAGAAAGATTGAAAGAGGAGCAGGGTAAGAGGGGGCACGGGAGTGGGGAAGGGGGGACGAAAGGGAGGCTATGCTGAGGTGGAAATCAGACATCGTAAAGGGGAATGTTATGAATATCAAGATGCTATTCATCATAACCATCATATTACAGGTGTGAATAAGCAAGGGGAGTGTTAATAAGCGCCCATCATTTTACAGGTGTCTGATCATCGTTTTTGCGTGATTGCTAATGTAACATGGCAGGGCATGCAGTTGGCATGCATGGCATCACATGCACTCAACATTGAACTTTGAGATGCCTTGAAAGTTCTGTGCGACTGCATGGCATGGTCTGGTATGGCATGGCATGTGGTGGGATGGGATGTGACGGGACGAGATGGGACGGGCCGGGATGGGTTGGGACGCGGCGCGACGCGACATGATGGGATGGGATGGGATGGGATGGCATGAGGTGAGGCATGTTGATTATCAGGCAGGGGGGTCGTCAGATGGATCAGAGGCCATCATCCGACGGCTGTCATTCAATGCTGATGAAATCAATGCAGTAAGTCCTCTCTCTCTTGCACTCACTCACTCTGTTTTCTCATCTCCTCCGTCCCTTTCCTCTCCTTCCTTCTCACCCTCCCCTCCGTCTTCCACTCATTCTCTCTCCCGTCCTGCTCCCTTCTTCCCTCTCCCCATCCCTGCCTACTCTCCCTCTAGTATACACAATTAAAGAGTCGTGTTTTGAGTCGACTCTAAACACGGTCCTGCTCCCTTTTTCCCTCTCCCCATCGCTACCTACTCTCCCTCTAGTATACAAATTTTTGTTCTCTCTCTGTACGTTGCTCAACTCGACTCTTCAAACACACACATTGTAAATCAAGTCCAGCTCACTTTCTGCACCCCGTTCAACCCCTCTCCACCGCACTCCACCAGCTGACAGTGGACCGCAAGGGCGATTTCCTGGCAGCTGCAGATGATTCAGGGCAAGTCAAGGTGCGTGGAGTTAATTTAGGGTGTAGGGGAAGTGGAGTTAGGGTGTGTGTCTGATCATTGCAAGGCAACATGGCCAAGTCAGAGTGTGTGTTCATCGCCTCCTTGCATCCTGACCACATCTCCATTCATCGCCTCCTTGCATCCTTCATGCTTTCACATCCTCTGCCCAGCCCACTTTCCTCTTTCCCCTCTTCAGGTCATCACCCTCATCAACCACTCCCTGCACCGCACTGAACCGTTCTCTATCCCGTGTCTTGCCCCCTCTTCTCCCCCCTCCTCAGGGCATCAGCCTCGTCAATCACTCGCTGCATCGAACCCTGGGGGCGTGCATAGCTTGACTCGATAACACAGCTCCACCGTCCAACCACCCCGTGCACCGCACCGAACCGTTTTCCATCCCGTGCCGCACCCACATGCTTCCCTCCTCAGGTCATCAGCCTCGTCAACCACTCAGAGCACTGAACACTTCGGGGCGTGCACACCTCAGTAAAACACTCTTTACTGTCAACCACTCCATGCACCGCACTGAACCGTCCCCCACCCCGTGTCGTCTTACCCTCTTTTCCCCCTCCTCAGGTCATCAGCCTCGTCAACCACTCGCTTCATCGAACCCTCCGGGGCGTGCAGCCCAATAGCACAGCTCCACAGTCCAGCCACTCCTTGCACCGCACTGAACCTTTCTATATCACGTGCCTTTCGGGGCGTGCACAGCTCGGTAAAACACTTTCGAGGGGCCAACCACTCCCTGCACCACACTGAACCGTTCTCTATCCTGTGTCTTGCACCCCTCTTCTCCCCACTCTTCAGGTCATCAGCCTCATCAACCACTCGCTGCATCGAACCCTCCGGGGCGTGCATACCTCGGTAATACTAATACAGTTGGAAGTGGGATTTTTGAGAATTCTCAAAAGTCACTAATACAGTTGGAAGTGGGATTTTTGAGAATTCTCAAAAGTCACTAATACAGTTGGAAGTGGGATTTTTGAGAATTCTCAAAAGTCACTAATACAGTTGGAAGTGGGATTTTTGAGAATTCTCAAAAGTCACTAATACAGTTGGAAGTGGGATTTTTGAGAATTCTCAAAAGTCACTAATACAGTTGGAAGTGGGATTTTTTAGAATTCTCAAAAGTCACTAATACAGTTGGAAGTGGGTTTTTTGAGAATTCTCAAAAGTCACTAATACAGTTGGAAGTGGGATTTTTTAGAATTCTCAAAAGTCACTAATACAGTTGGAAGTGGGATTTGTTTCGCTCTACTAATGTCTCAAAACTCAGATCTTCATTCCGTTTCACCCCTGGTAAAATCTCCCGTCTCTCCCTTCCCTCCTCTTACCGCCTCTTTCCTCATCTTCCTTCCAACTCTTCCTTGTTTCCCCACTTCCTACTATTCCTCCCCCCGTGCATGTCCCCACGGCAGATCTGCAGCTCTGTTTTGCTTTCCCTACGCATCTTTTGTGTCTGCGTATGTGCCTCCATGTGTTGTGTTCCCCTGTATCTCCCTGTTCCTTTCACACCGTGCGTGTCCCCACGGCAGATCAGCAGCTCTGTTCTGTTCCACCCCAAGCAACCATGGCAACGTGAGTTCAGAGACGTTCAGAGGCGTCTCTTTGTCGGGCTCAGTATTTCCGCGTGTGATGAGACGAGTTCTGAGTTTTGAATGATGAACTCAAAACTCGTAGCAACCATGGCAACGTGAGTTCAGAGACGTCTCTTTGTCGGGCTCAGTATTTCCTATCCCACGTCTCTCCTCTCCTCCTCTCCTCCACCCCTCATCTCCCCCTCTCCTCCTTCCCTCCTGTCCTCCATTCCTTCTTTCCTCCTCTCCTCTCTTCCCTTTCCTCCCACCTTTCTCACAAATTCTGCCTCTCACCATCTCACAGATACCACTCTGGTTCAACCTGTCACCTCATCCCTCTCCTGCTTTCTTCCTCTCCCATCCCCTCTATCGTCCTCCAGCGTTCTCCGCTGCTCTCGACTGTACCTGGGCTCAATGGGACTTTGCCTCTGGCCGCCCCCTTCGCTTGTTAATCTTCTCTCCATAATCACCAGAACCGTCACCCCTTCCCTCTCCTCCTCTCCTCCCTCCACCGCCCTCCAGTGTTCTCCGCTGCTCTCGACTGTACATGGGCTCAATGGGACTTCGCCTCTGGCCGACCCCTCCGCTCAGTCAACCTCTCCACAGATACCACCTCCCCTGATTCACCCTCCCCCAGTGCACCCTCCTCCTCCTCTGTTTCCTCTCGCATGTGCAATCCTCCGTTCATCCACTCTCTAGCTGCTCTCCACATTCCTGCTGTTAAGGCTTCTCCTAGTGCTGTCGGCACTGTTAATAACAGTGCTGCTGCTGCTGCTGCTGGCACTGCTGGTGGTGAAGCTTGGAGGACACGTGACATGACGTTATTGGCTGTGGCGCAGGGCGATGGCACTGTAGCAGTGTGGGATGCTGATGCTGACGTGGATGGTGAAGGGGAGAGGAGGGCAGGAGGAGGAGGAGGTGGGCAGGAAGAGAGAAGGAGAAGGAGTGGTGGGAGAGGAAGAGGAAGAGGAAGAGGTAGGAGAGGAGGAGGAAGGCAGGGAAGAGGGGGGAGTGAACGACCTAGGGATGGAATTGCTGTTGTTCCTGCAACAATTGCAGAGGACTCAGAACTGGGTAACGAGGAAGCTTGTAACGGGGACACATGTGCAGCAGCAAGGGAAAGGGGGGCAGAGAGGGCAGGGAGAGAAGAGGTGGAGGAGACAAAAAGGAAAGAATATCGGCTACTTGTGTTTGGAGGGCCCATGGCAACAGCAGCTGCTACAGCAGCTACAGCCTGTGGTGGAGGGAGTGGTGAGGGGAATGGTGGGAGTGGTGAGGTGGTTGGGGGAAGTGGTGGAGGAAGAGAAGGAGGGATGCGCAGTCATTGCGCATCAGTCTCTGCTGTGTGAGTGTGTTAGGAATATCAGAACGAGGTGAGCTCTGAATCGACTCAACAGTAACTGCGGTCATTCCGCATCTGTCTCTGTTGTGTGGGGCTGCTTAACATATTGGAGAAGAATTAAATTCTTCTTAGCGCCTGCTTTTTTAACCAGCAACTTTTCTCACTGGCCCTGTCCCCGCCCCTCTCTCCGGCTCTCCTCCCGCCTCTCCACCAACACCTTCTGTGCATTTGCTCCGCGCCTCTCCTATGCTGCTGTTATATGGTGCGACTTAGTGCCCCAGTCCCTCTGCATTAACCCCCAACCCCTCATTGCCCCCCAACCCCTCTTTCCCCCCCAACCCCTCTATTCTCCCCAGCCCCACTATCCCCCCCACCCCCCCTATCCCCCCAACCCCCACCAGCACCTTCTGTCACTTTGCTCCCCCCTCCGCCCCTCTCCTCGCCTCTGGGGGAAAACGACGCCCTGTGCTGTGCTGGAACTTGCCCCATGCGCTCTCTCCCTCCTCCTCTTCCTCTTGTGATTGCCTGCAAGCCTTCCCTCCCTTCCCCTCCCCTCCCTCCCCCCCTCAAAGCCAGCTCGTGCAGCTGTGGGATGTGACCCACACACTCTCAACCCTCCTCTGTTCTTTCCTGTTAATCTCCGCTCCCCTCCTTGTCCTCCCTTCTTCCCCATTACCACATTCTGTCGCTTTGCTCCCCCCTCTGCACCTCTTCTCGCCTCTGGGGGCAACGACCGTCTCGTGTTGTTCTGGGATGTGGCGCATGCACTCTCTCCCTCTGTGCTTGCCTGTTAAATTCCACCCTCCACCCCCCCTTTCCCCCGCAAACCCGCTTGCCCCCCCACACCCACCAGCACCTTCTGTCGCTTTGCTCCCCCCTCCGCCCCTCTCCTCGCCTCTGGGGGGAACGACCGCCTCGTGCTGCTCTGGGATGTGGCACGCGCTCTCTCTCCCTCCTCCTCCTCCTCGTTCCCCTCTCTCTCTTCCTCCTCTGCCTGCTCGTCCCGAGGTAGAGAGGGCAGCAGCACGGAAAGTGGTCATAGTGAGTCTGACACTAGCGAGGATGAAGGGCGGAAAGCGGCAGGTGGGAGGGAACCTTTGGCGCCGGTCATTCGCATACAGCACGGGCGCAAGGTGAGAGGTGGAGGTGGGGATTGGGGTGAGGGGAGTTTTGGCGATTATTGTTCGCATACAGCACGGGCGCAAGGTGAGAAGGGGGGGGCAGGGCGCTCAGGGAGGACGGCTGACAGGTGAGATGGAATCTTAGGCGCCGGTCATTAGCATACAGCACGGGCGCAAGGTGCGTGGTGGGAGACAGGAAGCTCAGGGAGGACAGCTGGCACGTGGGTGGGAGGGAACCTTTGGCGCCGGCCATTCGCATTCAGCACGGGAGGAAGGTGAGGGGTAGGGGTGTGAGGGGATTGGTGGGAGGAGAGTAGTGATGATGATTGTTCGCAAACAGCACGGGCAGAAGGTGAGGGCGAGAGGCGGGGGTTTGGGGGGTTTTTGTATATGGATGGAAGGCATCAAGCATTCTCAGTTCTTAAGCTATAACCAGTTTTGGAGGTAGGGGGGATATGATGAAGTTAATCTGGGAGTAGTATGGTGGGAAGAAGGATGGATACGGGCTTCTTCATGCTGTATATGGGTGCCACCTCCATTTTTTGGTTCGGAGTCCTCTTTCTTTGCATCTGTTGCACAATGCCATGAACAAATAGAGGCGTCTTGCCATGGTTTTTTTAATTGCGAGCCACTTTCTTTTTTGCACATGGCAGGTGAATTTTCTTTCTACATCATTTGGGGTACGTGGTCGAAAGCTCTTTGTTGCTGACACCTCCAAGAGGGTCTCTGCTTACGGCATCCCTGCGTAATTTGGATTCGCTGTTCATGTTATGTGATCAGATTATGCCCTCTCAACATTTTAGTGTTCCCCATCAAATGTGCTGATCATGGGGTATATGCATTAGTATGAGATCATGCTGCTGACACATTTGCATTTGTTGTCAGCTAGGCCTCTATGAAATGTTCCGTTCACCGCTCACAAAATCAGCACCAAGCATTACCGAATCAATTTTGGAGCCCAACAAAGCCGTTGAATGACACGTCCTGGTACTCCACGTGGAAGATACCGCCTTCGTCAAGTGGCCACAGCCACAGCCTCGTAAGCCGATTAGGACAACCTTTGCATCTGCACCACACATCTGACAGAATGGATTGCCTCCATGGTGGAGTCCTGACGAAGTAGGGATCAACGCCAGCACGATGGGAGATTCCATCCAGGCAATCAATGGTGAATTTCCAGCGTCAATGTTTGCGTCAGAGAGACCATTCCACGTGGCGACAAAGCTGAGATAGCCAGCAGTTCGCCTACTTTTCCGATGCCACATCAGCCTGGATCTTCCCACTTTGTCGAGCTTGTGGCAGTGGCTCTGATGGTTGGTTCGGACAGGCTGCGTAACGAAACCTGCTTCAAACGAGTATGGCTGAGAGGGTCTCCGTAGGAGCTTTCTAGGCCTATTCTGGGACACCACCTTAGCAAGAATATCGTCATTTTTCTCATACCTGTCAGGTGGAGCTCTTTATTCTGCTCGTGTTTTTTCCACTGATTCTACAACGAGCAGTGTAACTTAACTCCTGATTCAGTCACTAGCAACCATGGCTTCCCTCATTGCCAAGTCCCCCGTCGCAGCGCAGACGGCGACGCTGAAGTCGTCGTTCCTGGGCTCCAAGCCACAGGCGAAGGCCGCGAGCGCTGCGCTGCCAGTGAAGAAGTCGGACGCGCGCGTGGTGTGCATGGCTGGTGACCGTTGGGGTGGGCTGGGCCGTGATGGGTCTGACGACCAGCAGGACATCACCCGCGGCTACGGCATGGTCGACGCCGCGTTCCAGGTGAGTCATTCAGCTCCTGTCTATGTCTGCTCCTCTCAGTGTTAGTTCCTTTGGAAGTCTGCTCCCCCTTGGGGAGTCTGCTCCTGGTTGTGAATGCAAGTTGGAACGAAGGCAGGCAGTGACGTGGAGGAATCGGCTTCGTTATCCGTTTTTTTTTTTTTTTTTTTTTTTTTGCCTGTTGAGACTTGAAGCTGTGTTGTATTCGTCGTCGTGACCTGAGCTGTTGTTGCTGTGCTGCGTGCAGGGTGCTCAAGGCATTGGGACGCACAAGGCTGTCCTGTCGTCCTACGACTACGTCAGCCAAGGCCAAAGGAGGTAACATACTTAGCCAGCCGTAAGATAGCTTTTTCTAACTGTTTACTCCGCCACGTCCTACGCTTGAAAGACAATAGATTGTTGCCAATGGCATGGAATTCTTAATGCTGAGGTGTCGCTGCATGAAGCGCTGCGTGGTGCAAAGATTATTCATATATATCTGTCACGGCATGGTGGTGTGTGCAGCCTGCAGTGGGACAACACCAAGGACGGCTACTACATCGCTCCCGCGTTCATGGACAAGGTCGTCGTGCATCTCGCCAAGAACTTCATGAAGCTGCCCAACATCAAGGTAAAACATTCGTCCCCATGCCTCCTTAGACATCCGTGACATGTCTTCTTGCGTAGACTTTCTCTTCAGCCTGTGGGAACTTCATGAAGCTGCGCAACATGAAAGTACTGTCTTGTCTCCCATCCTGTCTGGACTTCGTGCGTAGGACAATCGGCATTAAGATGGCAACATGTATAGCGTTCCAAAGCCTTTGAACCTCCACAGAAATGCGAAACATCACGGTGACAGACGATTCCTCGTGGTTTCACCAATGTCTCACTCGTTTCTTACAGGTGCCGCTCATCCTGGGAGTGTGGGGAGGCAAGGGTCAGGGCAAGACGTTCCAGATGGAGCTCATCTTCGCTAAGCTCGGCATCAAGTGCGTTTCTCACCCTTTCTTTTCGTCGCTCGCCCTTCATTTTCGTTGTTCGCCCTCCCTCTTTCTTCGTCGCTTACCCTCCCTCCCTTTTCGTCGCTTACCCTCCCTCCCTTTTCGTCGCTTACCCTCCCTCCCTTTTCGTCGCTTACCCTCCCTCCCTTTTACTCGCTTACCCTCCCTCCCTTTCCGTCGCTTACCCTTCCTCCCTTTTCGTCGCTTACCCTCCCTCCCTTTTCGTCGCTCGCCCTCCCTCCCTTTTCGTCGCTCGTCCTCCCTTATCGTCGCTCGCTCTCCCTGTTCGTGTTTTTTCGCCGGTTTCGTCGTTTTCCCTGCTCCTCGTCCTCTTCGCCGGTAACTAGTCGTTTTCGGTAACCACCCAGCAGCAAGCAGTGGCGGAAATGTCTCACTGAAAGCCACCTCCGCACAAGTCACGGATCGATATTCCGAATCCCGTCGAGCAATCCGTTCTCGCCGTCCCTAATCTACTCCCGCGTCTCACCACCCCCCACCACCCCGCAATCGTTTCTCACCCTCAGCCTGTTTCTTTCATTCCCCTTTTCCATGATTTTCCCCCAGCCCGATCATGATGTCCGCGGGAGAACTCGAGTCCGGCAACGCCGGCGAGCCGGCGGCGCTGATCCGGCAGCGGTACCGCGAGGCGTCGGACGTGATCAAGAAGGGCAAGATGTGCTGCCTCTTCATCAACGATCTCGACGCGGGCGCGGGCCGCATGGGCGGCACGACGCAGTACACGGTGAACAACCAGATGGTCAACGCCACGCTCATGAACATCGCCGATAACCCCACCAACGTGCAGCTCCCCGGCATGTGAGTAGAAGCAGTTGTTTCAATCTGAATGGGATGTGGTTCAACACGACGTGGAGAGTGTTGGGTTGGGAAAGGGAAAGGGGGGGTGGTCGTGCCTGATTGGCTGACGGGTGTCTCCCGGACATACCTTCGAAACTTTGCGCTGACTCGCTCGTTTCTTCCCTTCGGACTGGTTTCTCCCCCGTGTGCTGACGGGAATGCTCCCCTCACCCCTTAGTTCTCTGAATTTTTGTCAGCTTGGTTTCCCCTTCACATGGCGCTCTTCTGGTTCTCCCCATAAAACACGTTTTCTGAGGCTTCTCCAAAAGCCTTTTCGTCTCATCTCACCCTGTCTACCAATGTTTCTCACCTTCCCTTCCCCCCAATCCCCCCCCCTTCAAATCTTATTGTTTTTCCTCTTGACCCCGCAGGTACAACAAGGACGAGATCCCCCGAGTGCCCATCATTGTGACGGGCAACGACTTTTCGACGCTGTACGCGCCGCTGATCCGTGACGGGCGCATGGAGAAGTTTTACTGGGCGCCCACACGCGATGACCGCGTGGGCGTGGCGCAGGGCATCTTCCGCCTGGACGGCGTGCCTGAGCACGACGTCACCACTCTGGTCGACACCTTCCCCGGCCAGTCCATCGGTACGTATGCGCGCGCCCATGTTGTGTGTCCTGTCCTCGGTGTGGGATCCGTATGCTTGCGTTGTGAGAGCACTGTGAGTGGCTGTGCATGCGTGCATGCGCGATAGAGTCCAAGGCGACGGGCGCATGGAGAAGTTCTACTGGGCGCTCACGCGAGACAACCGTGTGGGTGTGGCACAGGGCATCTTCCGCCTCGATGGCGTGCCTGAGCACGACGTCACCACTCTCGTCGACACCTTCCCCGGCCAGTCCCATCGGTACGTACACCTGATCGGTCTTTCGTTGTGTGTCTGTCTGATGTGCTCGTGCTCTTGTTGCGTGTTGTTTGAGATGTATTGTACTTATGTATCATTGTATGGTTTGGGTCTGTATCAAACGTCCATTAGTTATGCCCACCCAGAGCAGCATGAACAAGGAAGGTCTCAGCACTCATTCCCGCCACATTTCTCACCTCACACACCCCTTCCCATCCCTCTCCACCCATTCCCACCACGTCCCACCACTGTTCACTGCCAGATTTCTTCGGGGCTCTCGGCATGCGTGTGTGCGACGACGAGCTGTGCAAGTGGATGGCAAAGATTAACGCGGAAAAGAACTCTTAACCTCTCTTTAATCGCTTTTCCACCACCTCCCATGTCAATTCCCCTGCAGATTTCTTTGGTGCTCTCCGTGCGCGTGTGTACGATGATGAGGTGCGCCGGTGGGTGGCCAAGGTCGGCGTGGACAATGTGTCAAAGCACCTGGTAAACTCGCGGTCGGGCCCGCCCAAATTCGACCAGCCGGCAATGAACCTGGAGACGCTGCTGGCGTACGGCAACATGCTGGTGAAGGAGCAGGAGAACGTCAAGCGCGTGCAGCTTGCTGATACCTACCTCGCGTCGGCCGCCCTCGGAGATGCGAACAAGGACCAGATGGAGCAGGGAACCTTCTTTGAAGGTGCGTCTGCTCGTTCTACAATCGGCGGATGGTATTTGTTCTCTTTCATTTTCTACCTTTTCTTCTCCACGGGGCTTTGAGACCTCTGAAAACGCCAAGTCCCAAAGCACCTTGTAAACTCACCGCGGTCGGGCCCACCCAAGCTTGTACTGGTTCTGCTGAAGCAGTGGAGTTGTTGTGACATCTGGCTATGAGCTGGGTTTGCCAAGGGTCTAATGCACGTGCGTCTATGCTGCGCTTTCCTCACCTCACCCCTGTTTCCCTTCTCAATCCCTTCACAACTACTCCTTCAGGCGGCTATGCCCAACAAGTGGGAGTGCCAGTGCCAGCAGGTTGCTCTGATCCCAACGCTGTCAACTATGACCCCACTGTTCGCAGCGACGACGGAAGCTGTGTCTATGACTTCGCCCAATAAGCTCCCTGTGTTGCTGTTGCATGCTGATGGGATTGGGTTGGAATTGGGATGTGATGTGGAACTATGTTTGCTATGCTACTGTGTTTTTTTTTTCTTACCTTGGATATATATTAGTTTTGAGCGATAAATATGGTATGCGTTTTGGTGGCCATTCCAGAATCTTTAAGATTTATACGGTAGGAGAACCAATTCATCAACCCAACCCAACAATATACATGTAAAGAACTGCTAAAGAAGCATCTGCAAAGCTAGCATTCTGCCAGAACAAGTGACAACAATTTGATCTTCAAGGGCCCGCTCGCCACGCCCTTTGTGGGCCTATGAAGGGATGATGAGGGGATCACGATGCCCCCCTGCACCTTCGTGAGGGGCTCAAAATCAGGATTTACGGACGGGCAGCGTCCCAGAATCCTGTCGAGCCTGACGATTCCCTCCGAACCTTGGAGGGCTCCGTGTCCTGGCGAACACCCACCTTTTTTTATTGGGGCGGGGGTTCGCGAATGCGCAGCGCAATTTCTTGCCCTGCCAGCTGAGAATCCCCTCCTCTCTCTCGTCTATCCCTCGAGCATGCCACCCTGGAAGGTGTTTTGTGATGGCATGGAGAAGGAATTGGCCCGTAGGGTAAACGTCCAACAGCTCCATGATCTGGTCAGATAAACCGAAATTTTGTCCCACTCCAGAAGCTCTCCTCCAATGATGAAATCTGTATTGTTCTTGCCTTCCAAAACACTTTTTACCCTGGCTTCCTTTCTTATGCTTTTGTTTGGTTGTTGCACAGACCGTGAAAAAAAAACATACCGCCACCAGGAAAGGCGGGAGGGAGGTGCTCGATCCCCTCGTCCCCCTTCCTAATCCCCCCCGGCAATTTCCAATTTGGGGCGAGCCCCTGGACGTAATTGGTATCCCCTCGCCCCTCACGTCCAAGGGGTCGTGGCGAACGGGGCCCAAGAGAGCATATCCATTTGCTTGCGCCATAGACTGGATCCACCAAGTTTCAAATGTTTTGGCGGACCAGTTCATCTCAGTGAATTAGACGATTTGTCAGCCACCGACAGCCACCACCACTTCTCGTCAAACATCTTCGCAACATTTTCCAGGCCCAGAAACTCATTAGCGACGGCTACAGTTACCACCTGGTGCCTCCCACTGCACATTCCTTCCAGCACGACGAATTCAAGCCTAACGTCCACCAGACTTGAAACTTCGCCTGGGCTGCATCACCGCTTCTCGCGCCGCATGTCGGTAATTGTTGACGCGCTCCCGCTCCAACCCAGCCCCTTTCCCACCTATAAAACACTTTCCATGCCTCACAATCTTTCAACTTCATTCGTGCCTCTCAACTCGAGTCGACAATAGAGATTCACTTCACAATTTGCCCTAGGAGCAAGCATCTTCCTTCCGGGTTTCCCATCCGCACAAAACTGTTTCCTCCTGTACGATCCCGCACTTTCCTTCCAAACATGGCCAGCTCACGGTACCTCTCTCTCTTGGGACTGCTCTGCATCGTGCTGTGCTTTGCGAGCGCGCACGCCCAGGCGCCGGCGAAGCCTACCAAGGCGCAAATAAAAGCGGAGCTTCAAAACATGGCGAACGCCATTACGCAGAAGTTTCCGAAATACGCGAAATACGCCAAGGACATCAACAAGTATATCGGCCTCGCATGTAAGCAGCGCTCTTCCACCGTTTTTTACTTTTGATGTGCTCAGGTCACCTTCTTACTCTCGCCAAAAAAACAAAATCCCAGACATGACGGAAGTCGACATCTCCGAGCTGCTAGTAGCCCATTCCGCATTCTTCCGCCGACGCGGATTTTTTTCCTGTTTCTCTATGCACGTCGATTCCGTTCCTCTTCCTAGTCGTTTCCCTAGTGCAGTTCCGTTTCCTTCATTTAGCTAGAAACCCACCAAGCTTGAAGATTCGCGTACAGCGGCTACTTCAGGCTAAAGCTGTCCTTCCCTCCTTTCCACGACTCCCCCCCTCAACTTCTCGCCTCTCCCCGCCCAAGAACCACTTCAGTTAGCTAGATATTTTGCGAGCTCATTCAATTCTCTCTTCTCGGCTTCTCTCTGTCTCTCCTCGCCCTCTCCCGCCTCCAGTGAACTCCAAGTACGATTTCACAGCACTCAGCGACGCAACCCTCCTCCTCCCCAGCGACACAGAGGCGGAGGCCCTCGCTAAGAAGGTCCCCGTTAATAAAGCCAACATCCCCAGAATCTACAACATTACGGCGTACCACATTATTCGCAAGAAGTACACCGTTCCCGCGCTCAAGGTGCTCAAGAAGTCGCAGCCGATCGGCACGCAGTTGAAGCAGGCGATGTACAAGGTTTCGCAGCAGAATGGTAACACGGTTTCTTTCGCCAAGACGCCCAACGCGCCCCCTGCCGCCTGGACCACGATCCAGATCGTTCGGCTGTACGCTGGACCGTACTTCATCGCGCACGGCGTGGATAAAGTCCTGATTCCCACGAACACCAGGGTGTAAATCCTTGGGTGTACAAACAACCCAGAAAATAGGACTTCTAGGATTTAGGTTATCCGTTCCCAGTTGACAGTCAGTCATGCTACGGGTTCAACCTCTGAACTAGAGATGACTGGCCGTCAACTAGGCACAAAGCAGTTTCTTGTGGCTGAAAGGATAGGATGAAAATTGTGTGGGTGAATTGTACTACAATTCAAGTACTGTATATAGTATATGTATGGAGGCTGCAAGTACTGTATCATGTTTGACGAGCTATTTGACCTCTTTGTAGATGTTTCACCACGAACAGAATTATGCACTCGCTGGGAGACTTTACTAACACTCCTCCTGCACAATCTGGTTGTGAAGGTTTATCCAGGTCATTTGGAGAATCTGTCGTGTTGTCTCCAGGAGCTTACGGCAGATAATGAAGCAGATACACGTCAGACGGCTCAGATGCACGTCAGACGGCTGTAATGCACGTCAGACGGCTCTGATGCACGTCAGACGGCTCAGATGCACGTCAGACGGCTCAAATCGCTGTCTCGGCTCAGATTGCTGTCAGGAAACAGAAGTTTGCGCAGTAGGGGCAGTAGGAGGCAAGGGGCAGAAGGAGGCAAAGGCAGCAGCAATCGCTGAGAAGGAGGAACGGGAAGAGAAAGCTGCTGCCATTGCTGGGAAGAGAAGGAAGCAGGGGGGGAGAGCGCTGCTTTCTCTGAGAAGAGGGAGGTGGAACGAGAAGGCTGCTGCAATTGCAGCTAAAAGAAGAAGCACCGGTAACAAGGAGAAAAGAAGGCTGCAATTGAGTTTAAAAAGTAGAAGCAGGCAGAGAGGCTCCTGCAACGGAGTCTAACAAGGTAGAAAGAGGCTGCAAGGGGTCTGTCTGATGAAGTGGAGGATCCAGCAACATGCTGTGACTTGTTTGTAGGCAGCTGCAGCTGCAGCCGCAGTTTCGCGTTGTGTAATTCTTTGAGTGGATACTGTTTTCGGTTTTGGAGTTCCTGCACAGCAATTCGCTGTTAGTCGGGTTCCACTCCATCCACATTATAAGCACACCTACTGTATTGGACTGCATTATTAAATCTGACCATGCACGTCTTGTTGTAAAACACCCCACTTTGACTTTTGAGTCGACTCAAATCAAAAGCCACATTGTAAGCACACCTTCCGTATTGGACTGCATGATCGAATCTGACCATACACGTCTTGTTGTAAAACACCCCACTTTGTTTAAAGGTGTCCGCGCCTGCCAGTTGCGGAAAGTCGCAAAAAGGCTGCAATGGGGTAGCATCCATGCTTGCACGTGCACCAAATCTGCATGTATTGGTATTATTTTTTCCGTTCATTTCAATCATTGCATTGCATCGTATCATATCGAGTACACGAGGCTTTCATGGATAAAGGAGATCTCCGTGCAGCACTCTGGGTGCTGAGCGTTCTGCTCCACGTGGAAAATCCGATACCCCATCTTCTCCAAATGGTACACCATGAACAGTGTCTTGCTGGGATTGCCCACGCTGCCAAGAGCAAGTAGACGCAGGGCACAGCAAGGGAGGGGGTTGTGTTGTGAGTGGGGGGCTGGGGTGGGGGGGAAGCAAGAATATGCGATACCCCATCTTCTCCAGATGGTACACCATGAACAGTGTCTTGCTGGGATTGCCCACACTGCCACGATGAAGAAAAGGCAATCCAGAGGAGGTCGGGGTGTGGGGAGGGAGTGAGAGGGGGTTGCGCCTCAAAAGGGATCAGCAAGGGACATGAAGCATGCTCAGATCAGCTACTACTCAGGCCCTGTTCCTACTCTGGCACTCAGCTCAGCGCTCGTCTTCCCCTCAGAAGGCGAGAGCCCTCTGCATTCCCCCCTGAATCACACAGCTACTCGTGCAAACACTCACTCGTGAAACTCGATGATCAGTGGGCCGATAGGCGGGGTCCCTAGCGGCAAGGGGAGAGTGGCCTCCTCCTTTCCATCAGCCACTCACCCACTCAGCCTATAAGCCAGTGAAATGCCAATCAGTGCGGACCAGAAGCACTCAGTCATGGAACTCAATAATCAACTGGCCAATAGGCGGGCTCCCAAGGGGCAAGGGGTGAGTGCCCTCTGCCTTCCCTCCTAAACCAGAAGCACAAACCACAATGGCACTGCAAGCACTCACTCGTGGAACTCGATGATCAGCTGGCCGACGGGCGGGGTCCCTAGCAGCAAGCGGCGAGTGCCCTCTTCATGTCTCCTCAGGCATGCAGCCAGTGAGCCACTCAGTAGCCAACCAGTGCACACCAGAAGCACTCACTCGTGGAACTCGATGATCAGCTGGCCGATAGGCGGGGTCCCGAGGGGCAAGGGGCGAGTGCCCTCTGCCACTCCAACAGCCGGCAGAATGTCAAACAGTACCACGGCTTCACACCCCTCACAATCGATTTTCAGCACGTCTATGTGCGTGTGGTTGTGCTTTCTCATCACCTGGTGCAGAGAAAAGAAGGGAAGCAGAGAGGGTGGGGGTGTACAGGGCAGCAGCGGGCAGAATGTAAAACAGCACCACCGCCTCACACCCCTCGCAGTCGATTTTCAAGACATCAATGTGCGTGTGGTTGTGCTTCCTCATCACCTGCTGGGGGAAAATGGGGGGAAGTGGGTGGGGGGCCAGGGGTAGTAGAGAGAATGCAGCAGCAGGCAGAATGACAAACAGCACCACCGCCTCACACCCCTCACAATCTATCTTGAACACGTCTATGTGCGTGTGGTTGTGCTTTCTGAGACGTCTCAAAAATACCCTCCTTTCACATCTATGTGCGTGTGGTTGTGCTTCCTCATCACCTGGGGGGGGAGGGTCAAGGGGAAGAGGGGGGAGGGGCAAGGAGGAATGTCAAGCAGAAGCAACCCCTCACAGTCTATTTTCAACACGTCTTTATGTGGCTGTGCCTTGTCATCACGTCTTTATGTGGCTGTGCCTTGTCAACACGTCTTTATGTGGCTGTGCCTTGTCAACACGTCTTTATGTGGCTGTGCCTTGTCAACACGTCTTTATGTGGCTGTGCCTTGTCAACACGTCTTTATGTGGCTGTGCCTTGTCAACACGTCTTTATGTGGCTGTGCCTTCTCATCATCTACTTCACATCACAGCCATCCAAGGCATATTCCTTTTCACGTGTAGAGAGGGTGTTTTTGAGACGTCTCAAAAACACCCTCTCTACACGTGGCTAGTCTTTATGTGGCTGTGCCTTGTCATCATCTACTTCACATCACAGCCATCCTGACTTTTGAGTCGACTCAGAAGTTCCCTCACGGTCTATTTTCAATTCACATCATATGTGCTTTACATCCATCAAAGGCATACTCATTTTATGATATGACCACCTCAAGAACAGACCAGCTCACCTGCTCTAGACTCTAGAAGCATGACACGCTTGCCAATTCATCTCCTCCTCCTTCCACTTATCCCCTTCCACTCATGCAACCCCCTTGCAACCCTCACCTGTTCCGAAGTCACAGTCAATTTTGAGACGTCTAAAAAATGCGTTACTGAGTCATAAACTCTTTTTCTAGAAACATTATTATTGAAGCGAGCGGATCAATGGCAGACCAACTCACCTGCTCTAGGGTCATAAAGGCGACTTTTGAGGCGCCTCAAAAGGCGAGCGGATCAATGGCAGCAGACCAACTCACCTGCTCTAGGGTCATAAAGGCTTATCCCCTGGTCTCCTGCTTCCAGTGCTCGTTTTCCGGGCAACTAAAACAAGAAATTTGTCAACTCAAAAAACACTGCTCCCGTTCAATTCAACCCCCTCCCGCCAGCCTCTTCTCACTCACCTGCTCTAGAGTCATAAACGCTTTCCCCTTGGTCTCCTGCTTCCACTGCTCTTGCTCCGGTTGTTAGACAGGGACTTTACCCCTTCAACCCCCTTCCGCCTCTCACCTGCTCTAGAGTCATGAAGGCTTTCCCCTTGGTCTCCGCCTTCCACTGCTCCACCGTTGATTTCGCGGCCAATCCAACGGCCTCAAACGACAGGAAGGGCAGGCGCATCATGGTGTGCTCCATCGCAGGGTCTAGGAACGGATCAAAGGTGAAGGGGCGGGTGTGCAGGCGAGCAGCAATGTCCCGTTCAAAAGTATACTCTCCGTTGGACCCTATACTGGTGAATGGGGAAGTTAAGGAGGGAAAAGGAAGGAAGGGCAAGGCATGCTGGTGGTGAATGGGGAGGGAAGGGCAGGCGCAGCATGGTGTGTTCCAGTGCTGGATCGAGGAACGGATCGAATGTACATGGCCTTGTGTGCAGGCGAGAGGCAATGTCCCTCTCAAAAGTGTACTCCCCGTTGGACCCTATCATCTCCGTCTCCTGTCTCTTTCCAGCCCCAAGTAGGAGGCATGGCGTAGCATGGCAGCAGCAGCAGCAGCTGTCTCTTCAGACCTAAGTTGGAATATACGCTACTTTGCTTTTGCGTTTTGCGTTTACACGCTTAACGAATTCGTACGCTGCGTATATTTTGAAAATTCGCCGAGTTGAATTTCGGGCAGACCGGAAAAAAAAAATTTTAAAATCTGAACTGAAGCTCGCGACGTGGCGATCTCTATTCCGGCTCGGCGCGGAGAAGCTTCGGGACCTCGTGTGCGTGACGCACAATTGGCAGGTTGTGCATAACTGGCACAAGTTCCCTGAAGGGCAGCGGGTGGTGAAGGGAAACATCGAGGACCCCCCCACTCCGGCTGGCTACAACGTCGAGGAGGAGGTGGAACAACCTGAGATGGGGGAGGATGATGTGATGGCCAATGAGTACTAGCGGAAGGCTCCATGCATGAGCGGCAGGCGGGGTATTTAAGGATGGACATGTAGAGTAGGTGGGGAGGGGTGGTAGCATGAATGTGGTGGAGGAAGATGTAGTGGTAAATTAGTTTTATGGGTTTTTTTTTCTGTAACTTTCATATTAATAAAAAGGGGATGGGGGTTACATCACCCCCCCATCCCCACCTCTTACCCCAAAAATCTGCCCGGGAAAAAGTTTTTCCCTGCCCGGGCAAGCGTATTCTTGTGCGTACCAGACCCCTCATGGCCAGCGTCTAGCGTATATACTCTCGCATGTATACGAGAGCGTATAAAACGCTAAACGCGTTTATTCCAACTTAGCTTCAGACCAAGTGTACTCCCCGTTGGACCCTATCATCTGTCACGGAGACAGGGGCTGACATCTCCGTCTCCTGTCTCTTTCCACCCTCACCATATTTGAGACGAGGGCGAGAGGATGGTAAGGGGGAGGAGACGGAGAGCAGGGGAGGTGTGGGAGGGTTGATAAGAAACGATAGGCAGTCGTAGCTGTAGATGATAGGCAGTCGTACCTGTAGATGACTGGTTTTTCTGGAATGAAAGACTTCATGTTGCATATCCACTGTACACAGAGTGAGGAAGAATGTAGGAACAAAACAAGAGAAAGGAGAGATAAGAAAGACTCTTGAGGCGCCTCTGGAATGAAAGATTTCATGTTGCATATCCACTGTACACGAAAATGAGTGCGGGGCGGGGGGGGAAACGTAAGTGAAGATAAGAACGAGAAAGGGAATAGAAGAGTGTGGGGGAAGAGAAAGCAAGATGGGGGAAGGGAAGGAAGTTGTGGAGACAGAGAGGACGGAAACGTATGAAGGGATGCTTACATCTGTTTCCGTCTGAGACATCCTTTAGCTCCCAGACGGAAACGTATGAAGGGATGCTTACATCTGTTTCCGTCTGAGACATCCTTTAGCTCCCAGACGGAAACGTATGAAGGGATGCTTACATCTGTTTCCGTCTGAGACATCCTTTAGCTCCCAGACGGAAACGTATGAAGGGATGCTTACATCTGTTTCCGTCTGAGACATCCTTTAGCTCCCAGACTGAAACGTATGAAGGGATGCGTACATCTGTTTCTGTCTGAGACATCCTTTAGCTCCCAGACGGAAACGTATGAAGGGAATGCTGCATGTACATGTCGCAAAACAGAGAGAATGGAAAGGACGGGCAGGGAACCAGTCCGATTTTTTAACTCCTAGTGACCCAACCGCTCCCATATGGTATTCCCAAATCAGCACACTCCCGACCTGACACAGTACCCCTCACCTTCCCCCCATTCTTTTGACGCGCCTCAAGAACTGAGCCACTGCAACCCCGAGATTCACCCACCTTCCCCTCGCCTCGTTATCCCCATACCTCCCCCCTGTCCGCCCAGATCCCGATTCGCTCCTCCATGGGGCAGGCAGGGGAGTGTCGCCACCAGCACACAGCCATGGGGCAGCAAGGTATGGGCCCATTGTGATAAGTAGAGTTTTGAGTCGACTCAAAACTCGGCAGGCAGGGGAGCGTCGCCACCAGCACACAGCCATGGGGCAGCAAGGTACGGGCCCATTCTCATAACCCCCCGGTTTGCAAACCCACCTTCCCCTCATCCGCCCAGATCCCTAAACGCTCCTCCGTGGGGCAGGCAGGGGGACGCCGCCACCATCACACTCTCCACCTCCCTTCCTCCCTCCAACCAACTTCATCCCTCGCTCACTCCCCCCCGTCCGCCTACATGCATGCGCAGGCGCTCCGCTCCATGGGGCAGGCAGGGGGACGCCGCCACCATCACACTCTCCAGCTCCTGCCGCATCCTCCCATGCCCGTTACCACTTTATAACCACCTTGTGCGATACTTTTTTGAGACGTCTCAAAAACGTGTAGAAAGTAGATTTTTGAGACGTCTCAAAAACGTGTAGAAAGTAGATTTTTGAGACGTCTCAAAAACGTGTAGAAAGTAGATTTTTGAGACGTCTCAAAAATCTACTTTCTACACGTGGCCTCCCATGCCCGTTACCACTTTATAACCACCTTATGCGATACTCTTATCATCCTCTTACCTTTCCCCCGTCCGCCCATATCCCCTCACCTTCCCTCCGTCCGCCCATATCCCTAGCCGCTCCTCCATGGGGCAGGGATAGGCCGCCACCATCACACTCTCCAGCTCCTGACGCATCTCCAGATCCAACGGCTGAGATCGCCCACCAAAGAACTCCGATCTACGGCGCATGTTGTCCTGTCAGTTGAGAAGCAACGGAGAAACGGGAAGGGGGTGAGTGGGGGAGGAGGAAGGGGGGGTGGGTGGGGGGATGTGGCGGGAGGAGGGGGGAAGGAGGCGGAAATTTAGTGTGTGAGGGGGCGAAATGGGAGCGAGAGGGGGGCTGTGGGTTGGGGGGTGGGGAGTGGGGAGGTTTTCGGGGAGATTGGTTGTGACCAGGATATAATATTCTAACGTGAGGCTTGGAGGGTTTTCCCTTACCTGATAAACAGCCTCGGCATGCTCCCAACCTAGGGCACAGCTTCGGCGATCCCCGTACCTGGTAAACAGTCTCGGCATGGAGCAGCATCTCTCGCTCCACCCATAGATCCACTTTAAACTCCTCCCCTCCTCCCAGGCCGCCATTTCCGCCGAGATTCACGCCGCCAATCACGCCGCCACCCCCCAACGCTCCTCCACGGCGACTAATCCCACCGCCGGCGATCGAGTCGCGATTAAGAACACCACCGCCTCTTAAAGCCAGTAGCGACGCGAGGCAGATAATCATGACGCAGGCGCCCGTTAAAAGAGCCGGGAGAACCGGACGAAGCCACGAGAAGACGCGGAGCGACGCGAATGCGTTGAGGAGGGAGAGGAACGCGCGGCCCGCATTAGATAAAGAGGATACTAACGAACGGTTTTCGGGAACCCATCGCGATTCGAGCGCTCGAAGCGCGTCGACTATGTGGTACGGGTCGGGATAGGGACGAGGCTTGGACTCTGGCGGTGGGCTGCTGGCCGGCATTGTGGTTTATAGACGTCTCAGACCAGCTGCGCTATTTCAGCTCTAATTTTCCGGTCTTCAATTGACCAATGTGAGCAATGGTGAGAATGCCATGGCGAAAACAGAGTCACGACTCGCGACTTGCGTGTCAGCTCTGCAACTAGCTTACCAGCTACTCGTTCCTGCCACCTACCATTGTTGATTGCACACACATGCGCTACTCCATCACAGGCATGCAACGTGCAGAATGAAAGAGTGAAGTGCGAGGAAGTGCTGCCATTTATGGGGGGAACTGTGTTAGCAAGAACCCGCCATTTATGGGCCATCAGGGAGATCAGCGGGAAATGAGCAAGCATGTATAGTGTTTGACAGGTGAGTGCTGCTGATGGCGCCCTGTGGTTCCGCATGGTCGTTTGCGAGTTATTCGCGTTGTGGTGTGTTTCACTTTCCGTGAAAGGCAAAAATCTACACGTCCGACCAAAGTGCATAATTTATATACAGAAATTCTGATATCGAGACTTGTAAATCGCAAAATTGCGTAATCAGTTTCTGGGTGATTTGGAAAGCGCTGTATGAAGTATCGACACAGACTGTGGAGGACTTGTGCTTCTCCAGGTGGCAAGTCGCACCGAAATCTGCCACGAAAGGATCTCAAAACCTGACGCTACTGATTGTCCACGTTAGCGAGAGCGGGTTGGCAGGCGACGATTAGACCCTCTTCGCACGCCACGTCGCGCGGGCAATCTGAAATATCGTTACGCAGCGAAAGGGTATTGAGCTTCGCCGATAGGCTGTGGAATACATTCCAGTTGCTGATTGGCTTGCCAATTGGGATGGTCAGTCGACTGCGTCAGTCAGGTGGTCACTGCTGGCGACTGCGCTTCGATGCTGAACGGCGGCTGCCCCTGTCAGATGCTTTCTTCAAGTGATTTGCACACTCGCAGGCGAGCTTCGCACAACCATCTCAACAAACTGGCCGCCAGCATGCATAAAGCGGAACCACCAGGCAGTTAGACTAAAACTTCTCACAGTCTGCTCCACTGTTGTTCAGGACCATGAGGCGAGGGGGAATTCTGTTGCTGGCATAGGTGGCCTAGGAAGAACACTTCAAATTGTCGCCCCTACCAAATTTTATTCAACGTTTCTAACTTGATTTCTTTCCTGCGACCATTGGTGATTATCCCCGTCGCTGTCGTATGCAATCCAGCAGGCGTAGGTCGTGATTAGCGTCGACATGGTGGTCTCCGACCTCTCATCCATCCATGTCCCAGACAAGAGCGCGCTCATGAGAGACGACGCTCCCTGTGATTGCGCTGGCTGCACAAGAGAACGAGAGACGCCTGGTGGCCTTGTGGCGAAGGCTTTAGAGGTACTAAGGTCCCATTCATGGCTCTAACTATCTCGACCTTGCTCGCGCCTTTCCGGTCGTGACCAAGTTATCATCGTCAACTGTGTGCAGCTGAACGGCTTCCCGAAGGACCTGATGCCCGCGCATCACATACAACATTGTTACGGCGATGCGACTGGCCCCTTCCGTATATACCTGGATCAAATTGTTGAGAAGGAGATTTGCGGATACCCCATTCGCTTCGAAACCGAGATTAGCGGGACCATTGAGAATGGCTGGATTCGAAAGCTGCAGGTAAGAGGTGCCCCGCTGAAATGCCATGTTACCAGGGTTTGATGTTTGAAACTGAAAGGGTGTGGCCACTGGATGTATGTCTGTCCCAACGCAGGGTATTCGTGTAAGACCTCTGATCACGTGGAAGGCAGTAGATACGCTACAAACAGGGGCGTCCTGCTACGGAAGAGTTTATTTCTACGTGGGTTATTTATTTAGGAGCTTTCTAGCAACGGAATTCGATGGTATTTGGTCCGTGGATGATGAGGAGGAGAATGGTTACAAGGAGGGATGCATCGATGAGGATGGGAGTCTAAGATCGGAAGGCTGACGTAATTATAAATTTACGAATACCTTCTCATCTGGATGTGGCAGGAGAATATTTCTAGCCTAGTTTGTCAATGACTTGGCTATGCATGTTCTCATGCTACATAATATATAGATTCAATACTTCCAACTAACCTTTTTCCTTGCAACATTTCAGTAACAAAAAAATAGACAAGAACTTGGACCAAGTAAAGTGGGCACACCACTCGTCAACTTGCTAAAATCTCACTCCTCCATCCTCATTGTTCCCCTCTCCAACCCCTTGATTCTTTTCTTAGCTTCGTCAAGCTGCTGTGCCAGAGCTGCTCTATGTTGTCTTTCTCCATCCAGAAGATTCTGAACCAGCAGGCAAAGGCCTAGCGTTGGAACTTTCATCCTGCCAGCACATTTACTTCATCAGAAGTCAAACATTATAGAGACTACCTACATTGCATTGTCCTTTCTTGCCCGTACCAAACATCAGGAGACTGGAGCTTGGTATTTGTGGTAGGGAAAACATCCTGCAAGGCCCATGTCCATGTCATATGTCAGAGAAAGCTGAGGAACCAGAGTGAAGCTGTATGGGATAAGAAAGGTGAACCTACCTCACGCATGTTTCCGAGAAAAGCAAGGGTCTGCAAAAGAATGGAAGTTGCACAACATTAGGGCGTGTGAAAAAAGTTATGAAAAAGCTCCTACCATTATAACCCAAACCTTACCTCAAGCATGCTTCCTGCAGAGATGTCGTCAAGGTCCAAGACACCATTTACAGTTCGCTGCTCTATCTCCTGCAGGTAAGATGGAGTGGGAATTTAATGCTTCATACAATAACAGCAGGAGTCACTGTTTAGCAAGTTGAGCTTACAGCATAAAACTGTTGCTTCCTTCTTTTGAAAGCGCTGATAGCATTTGAAACATCGGTGCCAGATTTGTGCTTCTTCGCCTCTTCATAGTCAAGATCCGTATAATCCAGTCTCTTTCTCTTAGTGACAAAGTCACCCTCCAGTGTTTGTGCCAACACAAACTGCATCCAACAAAAGCAGTCAGAACAAGAACATGCACCACAAGGGCTGGTCATGACAATACATACCTCAACATCTCCTTCCTCGGTTTTTTTAAATCCAGCAACAATAGCATCTGCAAAAAATAGGTCAGAAAAGCTGACAAGTGCAAGGAGGAATGGACATAAGACTCCATGTCACACCTGATATGGACGATGCTAAGGCCGGATCAGGATTAGCTGCCATGCTAGATGGACTGACTTCGATATCAGCAGATGCATTTGCAGCACTTATGTACTTCCGCCTCTCTTCAAAGCCCAACTGTTCCCACTCCTTGGAAAGCTCTTGTTGAATATCTGCCAAAGTAGCTCCTTCCCCCAGTCCCTCCTCAACCCGGCTCCGATTTTCAAGGCAGAAGACAATAAATCCTGGAAAAAAAAAAGGGGGGGGGGGGGAGGTAGCTGAACAATATTGTTTCATCTGTGCTTCCATGCAGTGCCGTGTGACACATACCATCTTGAAGGATTCTTTGAGCAGGCTTTGAGTTTGGTTGACCATGTCTTCCCAAACGAGGCTTATCATTGTCATTTCTGGATTTAGACTTGATTGTAGCTTTAGCATTCGTTTTTGTTCCTGCAACGAAAACCCAGACACAGGCTTTGTGTTTGAGCATAAAATACAGCAGAAATCACCCAGGTTAAAAAGTAACAACGCAAAATAAGCCCTTGTCAGAACATAATTTGTACCTTTGTGTGCGGAGGCTGGCCCATCCGTGTTACCCTGTTCTAGTCCAAGCTTGGCCTTTTGCGCCTCTGCCTTATCCTCGTAGGTCTGGAAGTAACAGTTGTAAGAAAAAATATATATATAACTTTCTCACATACCCATCATACTTAGCCACCTCACCTTCTTCTCCTCTTTGGGCAGGTTCCGCCATTGTTCACCGATTGCCTGCAAAAAAAAAAAAAAAAGGATGTGAAGCAGTTTCACAACTCCCAGCCTTTAATGGTCGATATTCTTTCCACAAAGAAGTCCTGCAACTGCTCACCTTCATAATGTCTGTTGGCTTCATGTCAGGATTCCTCTGTTTAATGGACTCGCGGATGTCATTGCTGCACAAACTCACATGAGTTGAGTAGAGAGGGTCTGTTATGGAAAGAAACCATCAACTAAGCATGGGGAATCCTCAATACGCACGAGAATATAATATAGGGCGTAGGAGCCTTTGGTGGTTTGCTATCTCCTTGGCGTTTGTGGGACTTTCCCGATGATGACCCCTTCTTGGATAACTTCTTCGCACTTGAACTCTTGGCTTCTTCAACATGGTCAGTGTCTTCCTCGGGTGCATTCTTATCCTTGACTCCAACCTCCGCACGTTTGACAGGTTCAGCGGAACCGTCATCTTTCTGTGCGTCAGCGTCAGAACCCTTCACGACTGCTGCAGCTACTGTTGTTTCTGCCATAACAAATCCTAATGAGTCTCTATGCAGGAGCACTAGCGTTGAGATCGGGATTTTCTGACCAGGGTTATACTTACCTTCTTTTGATGGTCCAGCAGCATCACTGGCTGACTTGACAGCATCATTTCTCTCAACCTTTGAGTTTTGGTCGGGTTGCTTTGGTCCATCACTCATCGGAATTTCAGGAATTCTGAAACAATCAATGCGCTGGTCAAGTGCTCACGAAAAGCTTACTGTGCATACTACGTGTGCTCTTGTCACAAGACTTACTTTGGCTCTTCGTCAGAGTGTGCCATCTCCGTCGGTACAAGGGTCGCTCCTGCAGATTCCATGGACTGTGAGTACGACGTCATCAAATCAGACTTTCAGATGCCAACGTCGCATATTAGTCATACCTTTCTTCGACTGACTCTGTGAGCCACGTGGACTTTTGACATTTTCCGCACCATTAAGGTTTGAAGTCATGGCATCCACAGTCTTCAATGCGTCATTAACCTCCAGCAGGGACCTTGAGTCATTGTTCTTTGAATCCACCTTGTCGTTCAGCTCCTCAAGGGTTGGGTTGGTTGGGTTGGTGCCCTGTGCAGTGTCTTCTGGTTGGGCCTTCGCCAATTCGTTTTTCTCGGACTGAACTTCGATGTCAGTGTCTGCCTTGATTTCTTTCCCGTTCTCAGTCGTGCTAGAGCCCGACGAGCTTGATGAGCTGAAGCATGCAGACAGTGATGAGAATTGAAAAACAAAACAGCGTTCAGCGCGCACATCATACTTACGCAGCAGGGGACTTCGCTTTTCCCTTGTCTTCAACTCCAACCTTAGCAGCATCTGGGAGAATGGAGTAGCGGAATGAACTTAGCCGTTAGGATTTTAGTCTAGACAAATGCGTGTAATCATGAGCGTCGAACATACCACGAGTCGAACATTTTGATGGCTCTGGTGCCTGAATTGTCGCACCATCTGCAGAAGGAGGTCGTGGTACGGATGTAACTTCGTCTCCCTTGCATTCCTTTGTCACAGCTGCTGTTGTGTCGGAGCTTGAGCTAGATGAGCCTGAGCTGGATGAACTGCAAAAATCGACTACAATTGTGGGCGTTCAGCATCGCCAAAACGTTGTTTACTATGGATCTTCAGGAATGCAGAATTCTGGCAAAGAAAACCAGACCTAGAAGAGCCGCTAGGCACTTTCGTCGGCGTCTTCTTCTCCTCAGCTTGCTTCTCCTGCGGAGGAGGCGATTTCAGCGTCGCGACCTGGAAGCCCGTGCGTTTCTTCATGGTGGATAGCAGAACTGATACGAACTTCTCGACAAACGGGAAGCGAAACCTGGACTATGTCCGTGCAACGAGCTTATGTTAATGAGCTGGAGCCTTGAGTGCAAGACCCACGGAACCAAGGGAATGTCGAAGGCGTTTTTGTCTGTTCACAGCTCAAACTGGTACCTTAGGAACTTCAATCGCGGATGTGCAACTTCGATAAAAACAATTCACTTCACCCACAGTGTTGTGAACACGTAATATGCTGTGGATAATGTGCTAACGGGAGGGAAAACTGGTGAAATATTTTTGTACTGCTTCGTCGCCATCTAAATTTTGCAGTGTTCAGACGATGAGATCAAAATTCATGCAGATCAGTGGTCAATTGCTCCTGTTGGACAATTACTACCTACCGTATCAGAGTCCACCACACTCATGTTGGGCTGGGCACTTCATAAAGGCACATTCAGCAAGGAAAGAAACACTTTTGAAACTCGATTTTCACAGTTTAAGCTATCTTGGTCCAGGCAATCTACCTAGGGCAGTGCTGCTGGATACAAATGTGTGTGCCTGCCTCGCAACCCTTTCCTCTGCTAGAGCTTCTGCCATTATATCAGACCCACTCAGAGCGAACCCACCTGTTGCAAACGTGAGCAAGTGATGGACGAACGTGGTTAAACTTAATGATACAAAAACGGGAAAAACTTCAGTGTAGACGATAATGTGCAATCTACCTTGAAGAATGAACAATTTCAGGCTAGCAGCAAAGAAACCGAAACAGAGGAGATGCGTACCTTTCTTTGGAGGCAGCAAACCAGCTGCAGCAGCAGAGACAGGCAGCACCCATGGAGGCAAATCATTACCACCCGGTGACCCTGCTCCTGGTGCTCCTGCCACTCCTCCTACTGTTGCCACTGCTCCTGCCCCTGCTTCCCCTGCTGCTCCTGCTGCCCCTGCAGCTGCTGCAGCAGATTCAGCTACAGCAGCCGCTACAGCCGGAAATAGGTGTCTGGGGGGGTCCATTGGAGGGAAGCCTATGGGTGCATGTGGTGCAGCGTGGGCGGCATCTGACGTGGCATCAGAGATTGTGGAGTGTGGTTTAGATGAAGGGTATGTGTTTGGCGTGAATGGCATGTGCGATGCAGCAGGTGTGTGTGATGCATGTGGTGCATGGGGTGTGTGTGATGCATGTGCAGCAAGGGGTGCATGCGATGCATGTGGTGCATGGGGTGTGTGTGGTGCATGTGATGCATGGGATGCATGTGCAGCATGGGTTGCATGGGGTGCATGGGGTGCATGGGGAGCGGACGGCATGTGCAGCAGGCTGACTCCTGAGTTCAGCTGGTGTCGAATGGCCTGCAGCTGGGCCATCGCCTGCTGCACTTCCTGCTGTAACTGCATTCAAACAGTTGGGAGGGAGGATGACAAAAGGACGCGTTTAATGTGCAGTGCAGCATGAGGAGCATGGGGGCATGGGGAAAGGGAGGCATGTGCAGCAGGCTGACTCCTGAGTTCAGCTGGTGTCGAATGGCCTGCTGCACCTCCTGCTGCGACAGCATTAAGGCAGCAGGGGGAGAAAATGACAAGAGGGAGGAAGGAGAAGGAAATACGCATTTCATGTGCACGGGGTGCATGGGGAGCGGGAGGCATGTGCAGCAGCATGACTCCCGAGTTCAGCTGGTTGCCGGATTTGCGACTACCAAGAAAGCTTGTATGGGAAAAAAAGAAAAGAAAATAAAAAAAACAAACAAACAAACAAAGGGATGGAAGCTTGAGGGGAAGAAAGCAGCTTCAGTCAGCGTAACACGGCAGCTGAACCAACGCCTACTGCCCTTCCTGACTTTAGAGTCGACCCAAAAGGCAGGAGGTGGAACTATCGAGTCAACTCAACGCAATCGCCTGCTGCACTTGCTTCAGAAAAGAAGCGAGATGTCACGCCACTTGGAAAGTTGCGACTTCAATAAATCTACAAGGATTCTCAAGCGTCGTACCTCGGATAACTGTGTCTGGTCGGCAAAAGAGCTGAATTTGGTTCGGGCAGCATGAACGAATCCCATGGCCCGTCCCGTAAGGCGTCCAGCTGCCCGAGCTATCACAGGGATATCCTTGGGGCCTGACCAAGCAGCAACACGAGAAACGAGCGACCAAAAATTGGGGGGCGGGGGGAGGGGGGGGAAGAGAAAAGAGGAGGGAAATGAAAGGGGTTGAGTGCAGTTGGGAATGTATCAGAACGGAAAGAAATTATCAAAGGGGAGGCGGCTCAGACAGAGGAAATGGGTGAGGCTACGGCCTTGTGGGGAACAGAAGCACATGCATACAGAGGGGTAGGATGCAGTGCAATGTTAGGGACAGCCAGTCGGGTTGAGGACAGGAGTAAAGTAATTGATTACCTAACGTTGGGAGTGAGGTACAAGTCTCCTAAGAGAGCAGGAGGGGAATGAGGGATCGAGCCTCTGAGCAAAGGACCACGGTAGCAGCGAGGGATGGGGGAGAGTGGAGGGAAGATACGTGGCAGGAATAGGAAGGGAAGGAGCATCGAGAAGGGTCGGAGCACGGAGAAATGGCGGAACGGATTACCAAAGGCGACGATTCCCAGAAAGACGAGCAGCCCGATTTCGCCATTCGAAAGGCCTAGCATCGTCGACGCCAAGCGCTACTAGACGAGGCAACTATCTATCGAATTTGAAATCAATCGCAAACTGAGAGGGAACTTTTGCGGCGCCTCAAAAGTCATAATAAGCCTACTAGCATCGTCGCCGCCAAGCGCTACTGGACGAGGCGTCTAACTATAGAATGTGAAATCGATCGCCCACTGACCGGGAATTTGCGAAACGAAAAACCAGGTCGCGGTTGTGATGTCTCAAATATTCGCGCGCCGATGCTCAGGGGGTAGCGCGCTTTGCCACGCGTTGCGCGATTTGTCTGGCCTAATGGTTTCAAGGAGACGTGCTGGAGTGCGCTAGTGGCATCAGTGGATATCGTGAACCTCAGTTCTGGCTCAACTGCTGACTCGAACCATACGAAATTGGCTCGCATTGTGTCGCACCGTACTAGAACATGGCATCACCAGTTTGTACCGTAGATTCGCTCCAGAAATTTGTAATGCCACGGAACAGCTCCAGTAAGAGTGTGCAGGTGGAGGTCGTTCGAAACGCAGCATCCCATGCCCGTCAACTGTGGTACCACGATGCATTCTTTGACAAAGGGTTTGCAAGAGTAATAATCTAATCGAGCTGCAATCTCATCGGCATCAGCCGTGAGTCACACACACAGCGAACTATTCTTTCGCCTTTTACTAAAGAATACCGTGTGTGTTTCTCATCAAGCGGCATACAATAATTTTTGGAGTGCCTCTCCGGAGGTACCACAATTCAAATTTGGAACGGGATTTCGAATGGCATAACATACCAGAAATGGTGAAATCAGAGGGTGGCTTTATGCGCTTCCATGATGGTCAGTTCATTTAAAGGTTTCCTCGTCCTGGACGAGGGATTCACGGAAGCGGAAGAGAATCAAGGTGCACTGTGGGGACAGCTTTGCCTGCCTGTTAGCAGCAGCTCGTTGCTAGCACCTGTTAACATGTTATTTAAACATACACTTCAGTTTGTTCTTTTACCTAGTCTAAAATTAACATCCTCCATTATAGCTCTATTCCTGGCCTGCACCTTAGCAGCTATGCCAGGCGTTGCTTCCAGCAAAACAGCACGACCAGCAGCCATCACTGCCAGAGCCGCAGCAAAGCCTGCTATGTAGCGGGCAGTGCAGGGAGGCCGGTAATTTATCACTGCCCTGATCTCATCCCAGCTGGCTGGCTGATGCGACATCTGAAGAGGGTGGAGAGGAGATGATATCAAACAGCGTTGTCCCTAAACCCTAAACGGGTCGCAGAGGGTGAGAGCAACCGCAGTGAGAAAAGCAGAGTGAGTGTGGCAGAGGGTGAGAGCAACCGGAGTGAGAGAAGCAGAGTGGGTGTAGCAGAGGGTGAGAGCAACCGCAGTGAGAAAAGCAGAGTGAGTGTAGCAGAGGGTGAGAGCAACCGCAGTGAGAAAAGGAGAGTGAGTCTAGCAGAGGGTGAGAGCAACGGTTGAGAGAAACAGAGGGTGAGATGAAATTCGGTCCTGCATGGTTCGAAACAGGGGAAGGCCAGGGAATGCGGAGCAGAGGAATAGGGGATGGGAGCAGTAGAGTGGGGAATGGGAGCAGTGGAATGGGGAATGGAAGCAGTGCAGTGGGGGATGGGAGCAATGAATTTGAGAATGCGGAGCAGTGTAATCAGGAGATGCGAATGGGGAGCAGAGGGGTGGGGAATAAGGAGCAGGGGGGTGGGGAATAAGGAGCAGGGGGGTGGGGAATAAGGAGCAGGGGGGTGGGGAATGGGTAGCAAGGAGTTGGGGATTGGGGAACAGTGGAATGGAGAGTGTGGAGCAGTGGAGTGGGGAATGAGAGCACTGGAATGGGGAATGGGAGCTGTGGAGTGGGGAATGGGAGCCGTTGGAGTAGTAGGAGGGTGAGACGCGAGGCAGAGGAAGGAGAGAGCGATGCCTGTGTGGCCAGAGAGGGGAGAAGGACGGGAAGGGCGGTGGGGGCGGGGGGGAGCTGGGGGGAACGAGTGGAAAAGGGGGTGGAGGCGAAGAGGGGGAAGGAGGGCGCGGGCGAAGAGGGGGAGGGTGAGGGCGAAGGGCGAGGAGCGGGTCGCACCTAATTGACGGGGCGACGCGACGACTGATGGATGGACGGATGAAAAATCCGGAAAGCTTCTTCGTATAAGTTCGCGTTTGCCGGAACAAGCGGCGCCGAAACCAGATTTCCAAATCGAATTCCCCGACTTCGATAAGTCGCCAAGCAATGCAATCCCCTCTGTTGGTCGTTGCGAGACCGCGATTTGCGAACGGATTCCGAACCAGCTATAACGGATTTGCGACTACCAAGAAAGCTTGTATGGAGTTACGAAACGATGCTACGACGTAGTGCGGGAACAAACGGCTGAAGAAGCAAACAAGGACGAGAGACTAGAAGGTGCATGTGAGCCGGGGGCGTTCGTTTCGTGCCAGGAAGCTTCTCATCGGCCTGCGGGTCTTGTACCATCTAACGCGTCAGGAATGCTTCCAAAAGAAAGAATTGCGCAACCTGTTGTCACTGCTTTCTGTTGCTAGAATTTGCTGTACTCCCGGTGCACACAAGAGATAGCACCACGAGGGAAAGCAGGAGAGAAATGACCTTCGGAGACTCTTTATTAGCTGTGAGTCCCTTCGGCATACAACAACCTTTGGAGTCTCGAAGGCACCAAGAACAAAAGTGTCGTAGAGTTCACCAGATTTGTTAGGCGAAGGAAGTTCTGCATGGCCTACGAAATATAACGAAAAGAATGTTTTGGAAGAAACTCCTCTGTTGCGTTTGCTCGTCGACTTCGCTCACACCACAGCATGTTTCGCAACGTGTTGGTGTTCGCGCGAAATCTGCACGTCATCCACTGTGGAGGATGCATTTTGCTGCCTTATTGTGGTTGAGTACATTCCGTCTGAATGTTGCCCGTCATTCAAGAATTAAACAGGAGTTGTGCACGGTTTCGTACGAAGCCGAACGTAGCAGTACGCTGCAGTACGGTGAATGTACAAAGCCCAGCAAATGTAGCATGCAAGTTCCCCCAAGGCAAGGTAGCATGTGGTCATCGCATCATCAACTGATGCGCCGCCACCAACGACTTTCTCTGCACTTCTTGCCAGCTGTTTTCTGAGACAGGTAGGAAAGACCTTCCCTTCACCTCCCCCTCACGCACACCTTGCGCGAATCACGCGTCTGTCACCGACGGAGTTCTGGGTGGTTTGAGATTACACCTGACTGCCACCTGAGGTTCTACCTGTCCGTCACCTGACCGCAATCGCCTCCAGCCAATCACAGACCTAGAATGGCGGCTCCGAGTATTTCTCACTATGGCTGCCAGCCATCGCGCTTTGGCAAACCTTCACGAACAGCTAGAAATCCCAGCTCTGCACCAGACCGTCCCGATCGAACCTTCGCAAGGTACAAGTAGAGTCTCTCGCGCCATGATTTCCGACCACCAAACGCGGCGTGTGACGATACATTATTGACGAAACATTATTGAGGTATCTCAAAAGGAGGCTTTCGCGCGCAAATGCTTCTAGCAAAATCCACTGAAACAGCCTTATAAAGCTGCGCTATCTTCGGGCTGTCACGCGAAAAAACTTCAGACATCAGTAACTGCCTTCTCGCGTTACTCTCGCTTATATCTCGCCGGCTCTATCTCGCCATGACGGCCGCGGCGCGCCGCGCACAGCTGCACAGGGCTCCTCTTATGTTGCTCGTCTGTCTCTCCGTCGCCCTCACGCTCTCTCCCCGCGCCCTTGCCTTCACGCCCACAGGTATGCTGATGAGTCACACACGCCCTATAGTCGAAGCTTTTTGTCAGTGTGCATTCAGACGTTTGATGTGCTTCCACTCTGACATCCATACGGTACTTCATGCTTTCACGAGTCACTGCTCTGATGAGTTAACTTTCGCTCCTCTCTCATCCTCGTGTTTTGTTTTTAGTGTGGGTCTTCCTTCTCACCTTTGCTACTACTTCCTCTCATTCTCCCGCCCCCCGCCTCCTCCCCCCCCCCCCCCCCCCCCCACCTTCTTCCGCTCATTTCTCCCCCGCCTCCTCTCCCCTTTTCTCCCCGCCTCCTCTTCCGCGCCTCCTCTCCACGGCCTCCTTCCCCTGGCCTCTTCTCTCCACAGACGTACTCAATTATCGCGGGCTTGTCTGGCGCCTCCTGGACCAATGGCCGTCCTCGGCGCGTCCACGTCAGCAATCGCCTGACCTAACGGCGATTTTGTCATCTCCCGCTTCTCTGTTCGCTTCGGGGAATGAGACGTGGGGGGAGACTTCCGAGACGCCCCAAGATTCGGCGAATGCGACGAGGGATTCCTATGAACCGTCTCAAGATGCGGCTCGTACAACATGGGAGACGCGGGACGTTTCGGAAACGACAATGGGGGAGTCGACCGGCGGCGAACACGCTACGACGTCGGATGCGGAGGGAGCGGCATCGGGCCGCGCCGAAGCCGCTGCTGTTGGGATGAGCCATGGGTGGAGGAAATGGAGGGGACACGTGGCGCGCGAGGAGAGGCCGTTGGGGCAGCGCAGGCAGATGGGTGAGTGCTGCAGAATTCGAGTTGTCGTATGTGAAGGAAGCTTCCTCTGCTCACTCACCCGCTTTAGCCTGGAAATGATTTCTGCATATCGTGCCTAAAGCCTATATTCAATACCCAGTTCTTCTCATGTTCTTCCGTTGTTGTGTCTCCTCCCTTTCTTGCATTCCGTCAGCCGATTCGTGGCTGGATGGTCCCTGCTCCGACTACGTAAAAGCGCCCGTCATCAATATATCTTCTCTCGCGGATTTCAACAAGCGACTGGACTACGGTCCCGTTACAACGGTCATCCTCGAACTACAGAGAAACCTCGTTATAAGCAAGGGAATCCTCTTCGACAGCAAGTTCTCCTGCACGATTCTGCGATCCGCGAAGTCCGCCGCGAACCCGTTTCAAATCACGCACATGGGAGCTAATGAACCGGTGTTGCGTATATGGAACACGAGCAACGTGCTTGTATTGAAGGTCGATTTTAGGCTCAGCGTTCGGTCCTCCTCCCCAACCTGCACGACTGTTCCCGAAATTACGGCCAAGGCGCAGTGCCCGACGATTTCCGTCATCCGTTCGTACGGGATTCAAATTGCGAAAGGGAGTGTTTTCGGGAGAATCGATCTCCACCGCTCGGCGTCATCTCGCGTGGACTCCATGCGTGTAACGGGGATTCCGACATTCAACCAGTCGCCTGGCGTGATTCAAGTGACGTACAGTGGCCACGGGCCTACACTCGCGAAATCCTTCATCGCTATAACAAACAATGAAGTGTATGGTGAGTAGAACTTCACACTTCCTGTTTTGCTCCATTAGGCCTTCAAGCATTTGCATATGATAATTTGCCTCTGCAAGCCCAACAGCTGCAATATCTTCTCGTTGAGACACTGTCGGCGCCAGCATGCGCAACAACTAAGTGCACGACTTCATATTCACGGGTATCCCATCCTCGCCTCTCCTCTCTCTTGCTCTCCCCTCGTCCCCCTCCACTCCGTTTCAGGCGTGAACACGCCCATTGTCGTCCACAGGGGATCTGTCGGTGTCATCGTGAGAAACAACTACGTGCACGACTTCATATTCGCGGGGATCCGCTGCGGCTCCGACGTGCATTTCGCGGGCGACTGCATGCTCACTCAGATTGACCGCAACCTCGTGGTGGCTTCAGGACGAAACAGATCCGGAGATCAGGATGCTGCTGGGATCTACTATTGCGTTCACTGGTTCAGCCCTGGTGAGTCGTGAAGTCTGGCTGCTTCAGCTCTGGTAATGGCTGCTTCAGCTCTGGTAATGGCTGCTTCAGCTCTGGTAATGGCTGCTTCAGCTCTGGTAATGGCTGCTTCAGCACTGGTAGTGGCTGCTTCAGCACTGGTAATGGCTGCTTCAGCTCTGGTAATGGCTGCTTCAGCTCTGGTAATGGCTGCTTCAGCTCTGGTAATGGCTGCTTCAGCTCTGGTAGTGGCTGCTTCAGCTCTGGTAGTGGCTGCTTCAGCTCTGGTAATGGCTGCTTCAGCTCTGGTAATGGCTGCTTCAGCTCTGGTAGTGTAAGTGACACCAGCAATGACTGCATGCTCATGCGGATCTACTACGCACACTGTTTCAACCTTGGGGAGTCGTACGGCACTGGTTAGTAATGGTTTATGTGCTGTGACCTGTGACCTGTGGTATGTGGTATGTGGTATGTGGTATGTGGCATGTGGTATGTAATTTTGACCCGCATGCTCTCCCTTCGCCCCTATTCCCTTCCCCTCTGCTCCTTCCAAACTCTCCCTTCGCCCTTCTATACAGATAACACAGCAGAGTGTAACTATGCATTCAACGGTAACCACTGCCACCCACCTGCCCCCCAGGGCACACGACCCTTTTCTCATCTCTCATCTCTCTTCCCTTATTTCCCTTTCCCCTCCCCTCTTGCTCCTTCTATCCAGATAACACAGCGGAGTGCAACTACGTGTTCAATGGGGATCATTGCTACTACCTAGATTTTGTGACGTCGGGAGTGGCTATCAAGGGAGGTGCATGCATAAACACATACGATGGCATCAAGGTCAACAACGGAAAATGGTGCGCGTGCCATTTTTCTCCCTAAAACGACTGGCTATTCTTACCCTTCTCTTTTTCCCTACTCCTCCTTCCTCCCCAGTTTTCTTTTTTGGTCAGCACCAAACAAATCAACATGTACCAATATAATCTCCCCCCTCCCCCCCATTCCCCCTCCCTCCTCGTTCAAACCTTCAGGAACAGGGCAGAGGATGTGATTATAAAGAAGGTTCCCGGGTCCCCAGGGTGGAGTGCGTGTTTGACTCCTCTGGTGCTCAATTGTGACAAGAACCCCGGCACGTACTGGGAGCTCATGAGGAAACAATACTACGATACCCCGGTGTTTAAAGAGGTGAGAAGCGGTAGGTAGTTGTTGGGATCCCAGGTCCCCCAGGTGGAGTGAGTGTCTGATGCCTCTGGTTCTCAATTGTGACAAGAACCCCGGCACGTACTGGGAGCTCATGCGGAAACAGTACTACGATACGCCGGTGTTTAAAGACGTGATAATGGTCAATAGCCTCGGTCACAACGATGCATGTGCTTTGGGCTTATGCGGAAACAGTCCTATGACACCCTGGGGTTTAGAGAGGTGGGGAAGAAGCACCTGAAGATCACCTGAGGATTCACCTGAGAAGCACCTGAGGATTCACCTGAGAAGCACCTGAGGATTCACCTGAGAAGCACCTGAGGATTCACATGAAAAGCACCTGAAGATTCACCTCAGAAGCACTGGAAGTTTCACCTGAGAAGCACTCGAAGATTCACCTGAGAAGCACCTGAAGAATCACCTGAGGTAAGTGATACGATTGAGGGTAGGAGTGAGAGAGTGAGGGTAGGCGTGAGAGGGTGAGGGTAGGAGTGAGAGAGTGAGGGTAGGAGTGGGAGGGTGAGGGTAGGAGTGGGAGAGTGAGGGTAGGAGTGGGAGAGTGAGGGTAGGAGTGAGAGAGTGAGAGTAGGAGTGAAGAGAGTGAGGGTAGGAGTGAGAGAGTGAGGGTAGGAGTGGGAGAGTGAGGGTAGGAGTGGGAGAGTGAGGGTAGGAGTGAGAGAGTGAGGGTAGGAGTGAGAGAGTGAGGGTAGGAGTGAGAGAAAGAGTCAAGAAAAGACACGACGCAAGCATTAAGTCCCAAGTATTGACCGGTATTGTTGTTTTTTTATGTTAGGAAAAGCTTCCCCGAATGCATAACAATATGTTTTCTTTCCCATCTAAACTCGTCTTTGTTTATTTACCCCCCCACGTCCCCCCCTGTTCAGAAATACCCTTTTTGGCCGGACGTTTGCGGGCAGAAAACCGTCAACGGCAAGCCGTGCAACGTCAAGAGGAAAGGCACACTTCCAGCCGAAAAAACGGGAGCATGCAGCGGTCTACCAACCGAAAACACCCTCAACGTCGTCCTGGTTGAGACAGAAGGAAGGGACGTTGGTTATAAATACTGCGAGGTTTTACCGGCTGTGGAGGAGGGACCGCTAAACGATCAGAGACAGGTCAATATCACGAATATACCAGCTGCAAAGTTTTTGGATTATGTGAATGATGATCTGGGGGTGAACGCGGGATCGTCGCTGTACAGCAGCATAAAAGATTTCAAGAGCTGCCCGAGAAAAGACGTGGGGCCTCGGCGGATCGACGACGCGTTCTATTTTTTGAATTTCAACCGGCCAGAGCCAGAGGTGCATAAGGTGGTGGTGTCGATGAGCATCAAGCACGTTCATGACACTGCCATCGTGAAGCTGAGCAAGCTGCCGAAAAAGAAGGGGAAGTAGACTAGATGGTGAGTTATGAAGTGTGAATTAAAGCCTCTGGTGTTGATGAGCATCAAGCATCTGCATGACACTGATCACTGTGTTGCAAAGCTGAGCAAGGTGCCGAAAACGACAAGGGAAGTTGGATTGTTGGGATTCCACTGCAGTCCAGCCAAATCTATTGCCCACCCACCAGGTATATTATACTGTTACCGTATGAATTCGTGCTTGCCATGTGCTCGGCCAACTCTAGGTGATGGAATGTTGTGTTTGTACAGTACAAATTCTTGCTTGCCCTTTGATTCTGGGTGAAATCTCTGGGTGATGTGAAACGTTGAGTTGTTGCATGTGTCGTGCTCATTTTAGGTTCAATACGGTACAGTACTTCCAACTACAGTACGGTATGCCCTATCTGTAGCCTTCCAAGGTGATGATGAGTGATGAGCTGGTGAGACCACCTGCCATATGATCACTGCAGGATCGAATGAAAACGGGTCTAGCAGAAAATAGCCTCTCCATTAAAGCCGGAGTATAGAATGGCAAGTGTTCAAGTTCAAGATTCTTGAACATGATTTCGCAGGTGAACACTGAAGCCTGCCTTTGTGTGCGGCTCTCTCGCGATCCACGGTGAAGGTGTTTGAAGCGCAGGAATGTGAGTACGCAAAAGTACAACAGAAAAACCACTGACGACCCTTGCCAGAACAGACAAAAACCAATGTCAAGGTGTTTGATGTGCATACCGGTAATGTGGTATTCAAAGGCAAATGGGAGTACTGATCCATGTACCTAAGCATCTGAAGTCCATGGGTGCATGCAAGTGGTGTAGTGTGGAAGGCATCTGACGTGGCACCAGTAGTTGTGAAGTGCGGCGTGGGTGAAGGGTACGTGCTGGGTATGGTATGGATGACATGTGGGAAGAAAGTAGGCGTGTTTGATGCGAGGGGTGCATGTGGCGCATGGGGCGCTTGTAATGTATGTACAGCATGGGGTGCATGGGCAGCATTTGTGGCATGGGGTGCATGTGCAGCATGTTTGGCATGGGGTGCATGTGCAGCATGTGTGGCATCGGGTGCATGGGGAGCTGGTGGCATGTGCAGCATGGGGTGCATAGGAAGAAGAGGGAGGCATGTGCAGCATGGGGTGGATGGGGAGCGGGAGGCATGTGCAGCATGGGGTGGATGGGGAGCGGGAGGCATGTGCAGCATGGGGTGGATGGGGAGCGGGAGGCATGTGCAGCATGGGGTGGATGGGGAGCGGGAGGCATGTGCAGCAGGCTGACTCCTGAGTTCAGCTGGTGCTGGATGGCCTGCAGCTGGGCCATCGCCTGCTGCACCTCCTGCTGTAACTGCGATTAACACAGCCAAGAGAAGTGGTAGAAGGGATGGGCGCAAATGCGTTTTGTCAGTTTAACAGTGCAGCTGTGCCGCTGCCTGCTGCCCCTCCTGTTGCAACTGCACCCAGACGGACAGGAATAGAAATACGATACGGACAAGGGAGGAGAGAGGGAGGGGGACTAACACATTTCAGTCAGCGTGGCATTGCAGCTTCATCATTGCCTGATGCATCTCCTGCTGCAAGTGCAATAACAAAGCCCGAACACGTTTCAGTGGAAAAAAGGGAGAAGGAGAAGGGAGGGGAGCAGGGGCACACACGTTTCAGTCAGCACGGTCGACAGGGGGGGAAAATGGAAAAGCGGGAGGGGAGTAGCCACGTGTAGAAGGTGTATTTTTGAGACGTCTCATAAATACACTTTCTACACACACGTTTCAGTCAGCATGGCACTACAGTGCAGCCCGACAGTGCAGCCCGACAGGGGGAAAAAATGGAAATGGGGGAAGGGAGTATGGAAGGGCACGAACAAACGCGTTACAATCAGTGTCTCATGCAAGCTCCACAGTCGCCTCCTGTAGCTCCTGCTGTAACTGCAGCCCAACAGCCGGGGAAAAAGAGGGCGGGGGGGGGGGGGGGGGGGCGAAGGGGAAGGGAGTGGCACGAACGCGTTTCATTCAATGTAACAAGTTGAGCTCAAAAGTAGGCTCACACTGCAGCTGCGCCAAGGCCTCCTGCTGCAACTGCAGCCCAACAGCCGTCAGTATGAAAGAAGGGAAAGTTGAAACACTTTGGCACCGATGTGTTACCGTCAGTAGATATCAGCTTCGTGATGACCTGGGTTAAAGTGTACACTTCTGCTGCGGCTTCTGCTGCGGCTTCTGCTGGGGCTTCTGCTGGAGAAAAGGAATAGCCACGTGGTAAAAGTGATGTCTTGAGACGTCTCAAAACATGTGTTACCATCAGTACACAACAGCTGCGGGATCACCTGGGTTAAAGTGTACACTTCTGAGTCGACATCACCTGCAGGGGCTTCTGCTGGGGCTTCTGCTTGGGAGGGGGCTGGGGCTTTTGCTGGAAAAGAGGACGGGACATCACACTTCTGAGTCGACCAGGTGACTTTTGAGTCGACTCAAGGGTCACTTCTGAGTCAACTCAAGGGTCAAAGTGTACACTTCTGCTTCGGCTTCTGTTGGGGCTTCTGCTGGAGAAAAGGACATCACACTTCTGAGTTGACATCACACTTCTGAGTTGACATCACACTTCTGAGTTGACATCACACTTCTGAGTTGACATCACACTTCTGAGTTGACATCACACTTCTGAGTTGACTCAAAAGAAACTGCCTGCTGCACTTGCAGCAGAAAGAAACAGGACGGAAACGCCACACCTGGGACAGTTCTGTAAATAGTGAGCTTCTGAGTGATATTGCAGCGGCGTACCTCAGATAGCTTGCGTCCGGTCCGCGAACGAACCGAATGTTGTTCGGGCAGCATGAAGGAATCCCATGGCCCGTCCCGTGAGGCGTCCAGCTGCCCGAGCTATCACGGGGACATCCTTGGGGCCTGACCGGGCAGCAACCCGAGAAACAGGAGACCCAGAAAAGGAAAATCAAGAAAAGGGAAAATGGAACGAAATCATCGAACCGAGACGCCTCAAAAAGAGGGGATGCGTGAGGATACAGCCTTGTTGGGGAAACAGAAGCAAATGCAGTGTACAGAATGGGTGGATTGAATGTGATGTTACCGACAGCTAGTCGAGGGGACAGGAGTGAGGAACTTAGAGAGTGAGGGATTGGGGGCCGTCTAACCTGGGAATAAAGCACAAGATAGGGAAGGGGCGGCATTCGATGCTCTCTCAGAAGCTGGGAGAGGAGTGAGGGAGCAGATCGTCTAACCTGGGAATAAGGCACAAGACAGGGAAGGGGCGGCATTCAATGTTCTCTCAAAAAGCGGCGAGAGGAGTAAGGGAGCGATCCTCTAAGCACAGGAGCAAGGGAGCAGCGAAGGAAAAGAGGAGAGTGGAGGGAGAATACGTGCGAGGGATGGGAAGGGACGGAGCACGGATACTTTTCCCCGATTGTTTTTGGGATAAAGGGATGGGAGACGGAGCACGGAGAAGGGATGGGATGGGAGTGGAACGAGTTACCACATGCGACGATTCCCAGAAAGACGAGAAGTCCAATCTCGCCATTCGATAGGCCAAGCATCGTCGCCAAACGCTTGGCGAGGCGACTCTCTAATGTGAAATCGACCGCCCTCTGGAAGGAGATTTCGTGAGGAAGGAAACGAGAATGCGGGTCGGTCGCAGGTTTGATATCGCAGATCGTCGCGCGCCGACGGTGAGCGCGTATCGCACTTCGACGCTTAACTAAACTAGACCGTAGTTGTTTATGCTGGGACGCTTCGAGTTGGGAATGGCTCGTGAGCGTGTTGAACCGAACAAAAACACGAAACGCCACGTGATCAATTCTTTCCCACAAAGCAGTCTCTACCAGACGGTTTCTGAGAGCAGTAGCCAGATCGAGCTGCCGATGATTCGATATCAGCCGTGAGTCACACACATAGCGAACTATTCTTTCGCCTTTTACTAAAGAATACCGTGTGTGTTTCTCATCAAGCGGCATACAATAATTTTTGGAGTGCCTTTGGAGGCACCACAAAGTAATACTGAAATGGGATTTCGAGTGGCAAACGCCAACCAAATGGGATTTCGAGTGGCAAACACCAAGATTGAGGATGGAACAAATTATGTTGTCAAATCATTTTAGTTGTGATGGAACAATGAGTAAAACAATGGCTGAGTGAACAAATTTGCCTGCTTGTCTGCAACAGCACACCAACAGTAGCCCTGAATACCATACTGATTAAACATACACATCAGTTCGTCCTTTTACCAAGTCGAAAGTTGACATCCTCCATTATCGCTCTATTCCTCTCCTGCACCTTTGCAGCTATGCCAGGCGTTGCTACCAGCAACACAGCACGGCCAGCAGCCATCACTGCCAGAGCCGCAGCAAAGCCTGCTATGTATCGGGCAGTGCAGGCAGGCCAGTAATTTATGACTGCCCTGATCTCATCCCAGCTGGCTGGCTGATGCGACATGTGAAATGAACAGGAGAAAGAGGACCCAGATTACACCTGCAGACACAAGAATGGTGGCGGTGTATGATGGTTAACAATAAGATGAGCTTCAGAGGTTGAGAACAGCAGAGGGGGAGAGCAACAGAGGTTGAGGGAAACAGAAGATGAGAGCAATTGAGGGTGAGTGCAACAGAGAGTGAGAGAATCACAGGGTGAGGTCAGCAGGGGGTGAGAGCAACAGAGGGTGAGAGAATCACAGGGTGAGGTCAGCAGGGGGTGAGAGCAACAGAGGGTGAGAGAAACAGAGGATGGGCGAGACAGGGGTGAGCGAAACAGAGGGTGAGAGATACAGGGGGTGAGCGATACAGAGGGTGAGAAAAAACAGAGGGTGAGAGAAACAGAAGGTGGGAGCAACAGAGGGTGAGAGAAACAGATTGTGAGAGCATCAGAGGGTGAGAGCATCAGAGGGTGAGAGAAACAGAAGGTGAGAGTAACATAGGTTAGGGAAACAGAAGGTGAGAGTGGATTGGGGAATGCGAGGCACAGGAAGGAGAGAGTGATGTTCGGGTGGCCATGTGAGAGGAAGGGTGGGAAGGGTGGTGAGGGAGGGGCGAGGGAGAGTTGGGGACGAAGGGCGGAAAGGGCGGTGGGGGCGAAGGAGGGGACGGCGGGGTGGGGGCGAAGGGCAGTGAGGGAGGTGAGGGGGAAGGGCGGAAAGTGGGGTGCGGGCGAAGGCTGGGGAGGGGGTTTGGGGGCGAAGGGGCAGGGAGGGAGTTGGGGGCGAAGGCGTGAACAGTGGGCGGGGGCGAGCCTGAAAAACTAAACAAAAAAGATAAGAAGAAAGGAAACAAACACCAGAAAGAAACAAAAGAGGGACACAGCAGGAACAAAGAAAGGAACACAGCAGGAAAAAGCAATATGCGCATAGAAACGACACCCGCTGCGTCAGTCTCGGAATGACGGACGCCGCACCTGCCGCGGGTCGCACCTGACTATTGGAGGGGCGCGGCGTTGGAAGGTCTGGACAAAACAACTTCTATTGGGTTCGCCGGAACAAGTGGCGAATTCGTCGTCTTTACTTAGTCACCAAAGGCAAGCGACCTGTCTGTTGCTCGTTGCAAGACCGCAATTCGCGGAGAGCTTCCGAAACGAGCGAGAAAGCTAATACAGAGTTTCGAAAAGAATGCTACGGCGCAGTGTGAGAAAGAACGGCAGAAGAAGCAAACAACGACGGGAGATTAGGTGCATCTGAGCCATTCCGCCGTTAGTTCGTTCCGTGCCAGGGCGCCGCGCCCTAATTTCCCTGTGCTGCAAAACAGTTTTCTTACATCCTTCTGCTTGGGCGAAGATGTAAACGGTAACAGAGGCTCGGTGTCACAAATATGCAATTCCCCTGGAGATGGAACATCGCCTACGAGGTCTAGCGAATTCCTCAGGAATTTCTCGTGACTCGTCGGTGTCCCTCGCACCACATCACGTTTCGCAACGTGATGATGGAGTTGCCATACATACAGCCTGTAGCGCATCCCGCAGGATGGATGGAGGAGGTATTTTGCTGCCTTCCGAATGTTGCCAAACATTTGAATGATTTCGGAATGAGTAATGCACGGTTCTGTGCGTCGCAGAACGTTTCAGTGCGCTTCAGTATTGTGAAAATTAAAAAACGAGCAGATGTAGCACGGTGAGGTCCAAACCAAACGCTAGGTTTCGTGTGGTGTGGTCAACAGATAATGGCGCCATTGACACGCTTCTCTCTGCATCTCCAGCCAGCTGTTATCTGGGACAGGTGGGGTGGGGAGGGGAGCACCATTCCTTATCCTCCCTCTCCGCGCCCTCACCCTCTGACATGCTGTACATTGCACTCCACATGAGCGCGAACCACGCTTTTAGTGCGCACGGATAAGGTAGTATCACATAACCTGCCGTTGGAATACAAACAACCTGACTGGCACCTGAGGTTCTACCGTCTATCACCTGACCGCATTTTCCTCCATCCAATCACAGACCTAAGATGGCGGCTCGGGTTCTCTCCCACCGCAGCAGCCGGCCAGCGCGCATTGACAAACCTTCGCGACCTGCTAGAATACGCAGCTCTGCAGCAGACCCTCCAGATCGAACGTACGCTTCGCAACCTACAAGTAGAGTCTCTCGCGCGCTATTGTTTCCGAACATCACGCGTCCGACGATACGATTCTTGAGGTGTCTCAGTAGTAGACTCTCGCCCGCCGACGCTTCTAGCCACCACCTCTGAAACTGCTGATTTCCCCACAAAGCTGCGCTATCTACGGCTGTTACGCGACAAAGTTGTTCACCAATCAGCTATCACGCGACATGGTGTCGCTCTCGCCTGCGGCTTCCAGCCCGCGCCTGCGCTTTTGCAATACCGCTGCGTAATTCGTGCTATCCAGATTGCTCCACTCTTTACCGTCGGCTGTATCTCACCATGATGGCCGCGGCACGCGGCGCGCATCCGCATAATAGGGTTCCTCTTTCGCTGCTCGTCTGTCTCTCCGTCGCGCTCACTCTCTCTCCCAGCGCGCTCGCCTTCACGCCCTCAGGTATGTCGATGCAATAGAAACTCCTTAGCGGGTGTGCTCTTAGCGGGTGTGCTCTCCTCCTCCCGGTTTGAGGGTGTGCTCTCGACGGTTTGCAAGTCCTGCCTTTCTTCCTTCCTCCCGTTCTCTCTCCCGCTTCCCTCCCACCCAACCTTCTTCCGGTCCTTTCTCCCCACCTCCTCTCCCCCACCTCGTCGTCCCCCGCCTCCTCTCCCCCGCCTCCTCTCCCCCGCCTCCTCTCCCCCGCCTCCTCTCCTCCGCCTGCTCTCCCCCGCCTCCTCTCTCTCGCCACCCCGTCTCCTCCTCGCTTCCTTCCCCCCGCCTTCTTTCTCCACAGCCGTGCTCAATTACCGCGGGCTTGTGTGGCGTCTCCTTTTGAGACGTCTCAAAAGCCTCCTCTCTCTCGCCATCCCGTCTCCTCCTCGCTTTTTCCCCCCCGCCTTCTTTCTCCTCAGCCGTGCTCAATTACCGCGGGCTTGTGTGGCGCCTCCTCGACCAATGGCAATCGTCTACCTAACGGCGAAATCGTCACCGTCCGCTTCTGTGTTCGCCTCGGGCAACGAGACGCAGGAGGAGACTTCTGAGGCGTCTCAGGACTCGGGCGGCAATGCCACGTGGGGATTCTTTGAACAATCTCAAGATTCGGCTCGTACAACTTGGGAAGCCCGGGACGTTTCCAAGACAACGAGGGGGGAGTCGACCGGCGGCGAACTCGCTGCGACATCGGATGCGGAGGGAGCGGAGTCGGACCGTGCTGTTGGGATGAGCCGTGGGTGGAGGAAATGGAGGGGACACGTGGCGCGCGAGGAGAGGCCGTTGGGGCAGCGCAGGCAAATGGGTGAGTGCTGCGGAATCTGCGTTGTCGTGTGAAGGGCAAGCCACCCTGCGCTCACTCTCACCCGATTAACCCTGAAGAATACCTTTTTTTCTTTTGTAGACTTTGCCTAAAGCGCATACACCGTACTTGACTCTATCGTGTTTTTCCGTCCCTTTGCTGCTCCCTTTCTTGCATTCCGTCAGCCGATGCGTGGCTGGATGGTCCCTGCTCCGACTACGCAAAAGCGCCCGTCATCAATATATCTACTCTCGCGGATTTCAGCAAACGATTGAGTTTTACACCCGTTACAACGGTCATTCTCGAACTACAGAGGAACCTCGTTATAAGCAAGGGGATCCTGTTTGACGGCACTTTCTCGTGCACGATTCTCCGATCCGCGAAGACCGCCGCGACCCCGTTTCAAATCACTCACATGGGAGCGAACGAGCCAGTGCTGCGTATATGGAACACGAGCAACGTGCTTGTATTGAAGGTGGATTTCAGGCTGAGCGTTCGCTCGTCGTCCCCATCGTGCACCACTGTTCCCGAAATCTATTCTAAGGCGCAGTGCCCAACAATTTCTGTTATCCGTTCTCACGGAATTCAGATTGCGAAGGGGAGTGTTTTCGGTAGAATTGATCTGCACCGCTCGTCGTCATCGCGAGTGGACTCTATGCGTGTAACCGGGATTCCGACCTTCGATCAGTCGCCTGGCGTGATTCAAGTGACCTACAGTGGACACGGGCCTACACTCGCGAAATCCTTCATCGCTATAACAAACAATGAAGTGTATGGTGAGTAAAATTTCTCACGCTGTTTTTTCCTCCACTCGGTTTTCAAGCATGTGATGTGTGCATAGTCTTCTCAGGGGTCAGGTCACTGCGTGCATCCCCTCTCTATTCTCTCTCCAGGCGCCAACATTCCTTTTGTGATACACCCAGGAACTGTCGGCGCCATGGTACGAAACAGCTACGTGTACGACTTCATATTCGCCGGCATCCCATCCCATCCTCCCGTCTCCTCTCCTCCTCTCACCTCCTCCCCCTCCCTCCCTCCCTCCTCCCCTCCAGGCGTCAACACGCCCATTGTTGTCCACAGGGGATCTGTCGGCGTCATCGTGCGAAACAACTATGTGCACGACTTCTTATTCGCGGGGATCCGCTGTGGCTCCGACGCGCACTATGCGGGCGACTGCATGCTCACGCAGATCGACCGCAACCTCGTGGTGGCTTCAGGAAGGAACAGATCCGGGGATCAGGACGCTGCAGGGATCTACTACTGTGTTCACTGGTTCAGCCCAGGTGAGGGTTGATTCAGGCCCGGTAACTTTCTGGATCGGCTCCGACGTGCATTTTGTGGGCGACTGCAAGCTCACACAGAAGCCACTTGTAATGAGGTTATTTTTGGTTTTTGAGAATTCTAAAAAAACAGGTGAGACATCTCAAAAATAACCTCCAACGTGCACTTTGCGGGCGACTGCATGCTCACACAGATCGACTGCAACCTGGTTGTCGTTTACGGGAGGAACTGGTCACGAGACCAGGATGCGGCTGGATTTACTATTGTGTTCACAGGTTCAGCCCTGGTAAGGATTGTTCAAGGTGACTTTCAAGGATTTACTACTGTGTTCACTGGTTCAGCCCTGGTAAGGATACAATCAGCCCTGGGAGGGATTGCAGATTACACACTGGTGCCCACTGGTGCCTGCTACCCATAGCACTTTTGAGGCGCCTCAAAAGTTGCTTGCAGATAACACACTGGTGACCACTGGTGCCTGCTACTCATAGCACCAGTGGGTACCAGTGGTCACTCTGGTGAAGCGACCCTTCACTGCCCCGTCGCTCATCTTTCTACCCTTGTGTCCCTTCCCCTCCTTTCTTGTTCCTTCTATGCAGACAACACAGCAGAGTGCAACTACGTGTTCAATGGGGATCATTGCTACTACCTTGATTTCGTGACATCTGGAGTGGCTATCAAGGGGGGTGCCTGCATAAACACATACGATGGCATCAAGGTCAACAATGGGAAATGGTACGCGTGCTGCTCTCTTCTCCCTGAAACGTCTCTTTTACCTTTCCTCTATAGTGGCAATTAGCGGGGTGCCTGCATGAACACATACGATGGCATCAAGGTCAACAATGGGAAATGGTATGTCTGCTGCTCTTCTCATCTCACTGAAAATATTACTCATCGTCACCTCACAACTCTCTCCGTCCTTTTTTCCTCCTCCCTTTCCCCGCCCTTTCCCTTCCTCCAGCCTTTCCTCTGCCCTCGCTCTTTCTCCATGGATTTTTTTAATTGTTCAGGACAGCACAGAACAGATATCCACATATAAAATCTCTAATCACTCCCCCCTCTTTTTGAGGCACCTAAAAAATCCATGATTTTATTTTATCTGTTCAGGACAGCACAGAACAGATTTCCACACATAAAATCTCTAACCACTTCCCCCTCCCACTCCCTCCACCCTCCGTTCGAACCTTCAGGAACAGGGTAGACGATGTGATTTTAAAGAAGGTTCCCGGGTCCCCAGGGTGGAGTGCGTGTCTGACTCCTCTGGTGCTCAACTGTGACATTAACCCCGGCACGTACTGGGAGCTCATGAGGAAACAGTACTACGACACACCCGTGTTCCAAGAGGTGAGGGAGAAAGAGAGGTGAGACAGTACCACGATACGCCAGTGTTCTGCGAGGTGAGGAAGAAGCACCTGAGGATTCACCTGAAGAGCACCTGAGACTCGTCTGGGAGCTCATGCGCCAGCAGTTGCATGACACCCTGCTCTTCCTAGAGGTGGTTTTTGAGTCGACAAAAAAAGAGACTCAAAAACAGTACCATGAAACCCTGCTCTTCCAAGAGGTGTTTTTTGAGTGGACGATAAAAAAAAGACACAAAAACAGTACCATGACACCCTGCTCTTCCGAGGGGTGAGACTTGAATAAAGAGCACCTGAGGAACACGTGAAAGTTTGAGAGCCTGAGTCGGCTTTAATGTCTCTGAGCGCGGCTTTAAATTAAAAGCATGGTGCTTCGCATGCATACTCACCTCTCCACTTCGCTGTCTTACCCCGTCCCCCCTTTACAGAAATACCCCTTCTGGCCGGACGTTTGCGGGCAGAAAACCGTCAACGGCAAGCCGTGCAACATCAAGCGGAAAGGCACACTTCCAGCCGAAAAAGCCGGAGCATGCAGCGGGCTTCCAACAGAAAACACCCTAAATGTCGTCCTGGTGGACACAGAAGGAAGGGACGTTGCTTATAAATACTGTGAGGTTTTACCGGCTGTGGAAGAGGGACCACTGAACGATCAGAGGCAGGTTGATGTTACCGATATCCCGGCTGTGAAGTTTTTGGATTACGCGAACGACGATCTGGGGGTGAACGCGGGATCGTCGCTGTACAGCAGCATAAAAGATTTCAAGAGCTGCCCGAGAAAGGACGTGGGACCTCGGCGGATCGACGACGCGTTTTATTTTCTGAATTTCAACCGGCCAGAGCCGGAGGTGCATAAGGTGGTGGTGTCGATGAGCATCAAGCACGTGCATGACACCGCTATCGTCAAGCTGAGTAAGCTGCCGAAAAAGAAAGGGAAGTAGGACCCTTGGGAGTATGATATCCGAGCTTCCTTCTGTTATCCACTATGTATACTGGAAATAAAAATTTCCCGCTCCGTGATTCCTCACAGCATTGTCGAGGTGATAGAATACTGTGATGTGGGTGGGAGGTGAACTTGAGTAATGAATATTGTTCAGCATGCTTGGTTTCAGTTGCTGACAATGAGTGAAGAGTCAATGAAAACGTGCTAGGGAGGACTGATCTCAGAGCAGGCTGACAAAACAGAGACGTCTGAAAATTTACGAAACCCTGAGAACCAAAACAATCTACACTACACTTGAAAATCACGGCTATTTCATATAAAATGTTGAGAATTCAGCCCTTTGATGAGAAAAAATGCTGATGATTGAATAGGCGTGAAAGGCTGCAATACGGTATGAGGGCTTGGTACCAAGCATTGGTACCCATAATAAATTATATACACCAGATAGGTACTGATTGATGCCTACTGGCAAGTCAATGGAAAACACACAAATAATACAATCTTTTACAATGCTACCACCGTATCTACACTACAGTATCATCGGAAGGCACACACTTCTTCAGCTCACGGTCGTACATAAACCCTGGTGCACAAACCGGCACGCACGCCGTCGTGTTGGGGTCGTAGTAAAACCCAGCCGGGCAGCTGTTGTCATCCGCCTTCAAAACTTTTCCTGCTGCCCAAGCCACAGCCTGCTGCCACCACGTTCGCTTGGGCTCATGGAAAGAACCCTGGAGGAGCAAGAGGACCACGGGCAATCACAGCAGGGGAAAGGAGCAACAGCAGGCAGAGAAGATACACAAGGCTCGTCGGAAGAACCCTGGAGCAAGAGGACCATAGGCAGTCATGGCAAAGCAGCAGAAAGGATGGATGGATCCGCTACAGGGCCGAATCTTAGCCTTGGGAAGAAGGGATGGCAACAGGTGAGCGTTGGTGAATTCGAAAGCTATGCGTCACCACCCGGGGTGGTACTCCTACGCGGTGCATTGCAATCAGACGTAGCGCACAAGAGCACCCACATGGTGCTCCTATCGCGACTGCGCACCAATCATGGCTCGAATCAAATGTAGTACGTTGCTATCAGACCTGTGTGTGACTTAAATGCTGCGAGACTCTCCGCCATATGGCAAGCTTGCAGCATCGCCAACATATCACCACCCACAACTCCCACGCTCACTCGTGGCTGGGCACACATGAACCGGACTTTGAGTCGACTCTTTTTTTTTGTCGAGTATCCCGTCGACTCAAAGCATCGCCAAAATGGTGCCCTCTACTCACATGCACAGTCTTGGCCGGGAACGCACAAACCACGACTTACCACGTTGCCATCCCCGCAAGGCACTTGCCATGCCCACCTTCCGCAGTTCAAATATAGACCCTTCCAACTGACTCAAATGCTCGCTTCGGGGGCTCAAATCAGATGCTCACCTGAGGCGGCACACACACATCAAGCGATGCATCGTACGAGCACCCCTGGTCGCACTCGTGGTTGGAAACGCATCGCCTGCCGTTGAGCAAGTAGCCCTCGCCGCATGGTGCTCCCATTCCAGCCAAGACAAGCCCCCCCAATGCAAGCTCAACTCCCCCCACACCTGAGAGGCTCCAAACAGGCGCTCATCTAGGGGGGGCAATGCTCATCTGGGGAAGGACGCAGGCGTCCAGAGACGCATCATAAGAGCACCCATGGTCGCACGCATGGTTGTTGGGCACACACCGCCCGCCCTTGAGCACGTAGCCCTCACCGCACGCTACCCCAACCCAACCAAGGCAGCAACGCGCCACAATCCTAGCACCACTCAACACCTTGGGCGCCTACTCAAACACTCACCTGAGGCAGCACGCAGGCATCGAGAGACGCGTCGTATGAGTACCCCTGGTCGCACTCGTGGTTGGGCACACAGCGCCCGCCCTTGAGCACATAGCCTTCCCCGCACGCGGGCATGATGCGCACGCACGACTTGGTGTCGTAGTCGTATGAGTACCCCGGCTTGCAGATGTACACACATGCTTGGGCGTTTGGGTCCAGGTACTTGCCAGGCCCACAGGGGTTCGACGGGTAGACACGCTCAGCTAGCACTTTAACCAGCCTGGATTGGAAGGGGGAGACGCATGGGAATGAGGGGGAGGGGAATGAAATGCAGGGTTGTTTTGGGGGGGAAAAGAGAGAGGTGTGTTGTTAGGGCCCAGCCTGGTCCAGTGTGGGTACACGATGCGCACGCACGACTTGGTGTCGTAGTCGTAAGAGTATCCCAGCTTGCAGATGTACACGCACGCTTGGGCGTTCCGATCCAGGTACTTGCCAGGGCCACACGGGTTGGACGGGTAGACGCGTTCTGCTAGGACCTTCACCAGCCTGGAGGGGAGAGATGGGTGGGAAGGGAAGGGGATGAACATACATGCACAGCTTGCAGATGTACACACACGCCTGCGCGTTGGGATTCAGATACTTGCCGGGGCCACAGGGGTTGGAGGGGTAAACGCGTTCTGCTAGGACCTTGACCAGCCTGGAGGGGAGAGATGGGTGGGAAGGGAAGGGTGTTCGGATGGGCGTTCGGATCCAGGTACATGCACAGCTTGCAGATGTACACACACGCCTGCGCGTTGGGATACAGGTACTTGACGGGGCCACATGGGTTGGAGGGATACACGCGTTCTGCTAGGACTTAAACCAGCCTGCGGAAGGGAGAGAAGGACGGGAACGAGTGGGGAGGAGAGGAATGGGTGGGAAGGAACGCGGGGTTGATTTAGGGGAAAATGCGAGCTTTGACGAGGGTCCATGTACTTTCCAGGTACGTGCCGGGCCCGCACGAGTAGAGTTAGTACGCGCGTTTCGCAGGACTTGACCAGCCTATGGGGAATAGACGAGCGGGAATGAGTGGACGGATAGGAGATGTTTCTAGTGAGAGGGTCCAGGTAAGTCCCGGGCCCACACGAGTTAGAGTGGTGCTCGCGGTTCACCACGACTTTGACCAGCGAGCGGACGGAAAAAATGAGTGGATGGATAGGTGGTAAGAAGGCCGTTCTTAGGAAGAGCAGAGCACGAGGGAGAATGGATGCGTGGCAGGCGACAGAACGAGCGAGGCTGGAACGGTTGTTGGGTAATTTCTTCCGGGTCTTCGAAGGCGTACCACGCGGGAACAGCAGTCCAGTCAACGAAGGCTTGAGAAGTCATGGCGCCGCCCCGTTGCCGACATTTTTTGTCTGACTTTCGCGCAGCACGGTTCCTTTTTGACTGCAATGAAGTCTGAGGAAGGCGAAACGGCGCTAGACTAACTCGGCAGGAAGCTGTTCCTGTGACGAAGCTAGTCCCGAGGGATCTAGAGGTAAGACTAGTGGTTGGTTGCGCGAATGCGACAGTCGTAGCAGCCATGGATGAGAACAGAGAGGAAGCGCGAGGGATTTTGTGTAAGAACTAGGAGTACGCGGGGAGACAACACACGGGCCAGTGTTTTGCATGCAAAATCCGATGGACAGTTGGACGGAAAAATGGATGCAGAGATCTTTGAAAGCAAGGGGGATGCAAGCTGGGGATATGAAAATGGTGATGCAGAAGAAAGGAAGAACGAAAAGAAATAGAATGGTTCAGAGAGGATTACAGAGGAATTTATAGGCAAACGCAGGAATATAAAGGAGTATAAAAGGAATGAAAGGCGGGGGAGGGAAGGGAGGGTGTGGGTCTTCCCTTGCCTGGCCCTGGTCCGTTTGTTTGGCAAGAGTTCGGACAGGGCAGGTGTCCGTGGCGAGAATGGGCGAAAATGACACGAAGTGGTTACATAATGAAGGTGTTGCCCTCGTGTCGATTTCCCAGCTGGAGTCACGGGGATGCTGGTCAGGTTGACGAATCAGGTCCCCACACGAACTTGCGACTGGACTTTGTAACAGCCAATTGAAGCGAGACGGACGTACCGATCTGCCCAGCCATCCCCGACTGTTTCTGCTCGGGTTTCGAACCAGCACATTCCTTGTAGCTCCTAGGTGAATGTTTGACAAGCAAGGCGTAAATTTCAACCTCACCTCCTATCCTAGGTCAAGTTATTCGGCTGCTCAATTTCATCCCAGGTTGATCA